GGAAGGAAGGGAGAGAAGGAAAGAAGGAAGGACACACCCACAAATACTGTGTTTGTGTGTGTGTGTGTGTGTCCTTTTGACTCATAATTAAATTTATACAAATTCTTCTGACATTTGTCTAAATGAATGTCCAAACATATATGTAAATTTTAAATTGTAATGTTCTTTACAGGGGAGGGGGTGAGGCAGCCCAACTGTTCACAAACAGGGAAAGTTACCTAAATCATGGCATGATGGAATGATGTGAAATTATTTAAAAGAATGAGGTACATTTTCATATTTTCATGTGCTAATAAAAGATTTGCAGGGGACTTTGTCCATAAAAAAAGGAATATTTTGTCTGAGCTGAGTGATGGTGCATGCCTTTAATCCCAGCACTCGGGAAGCAGAAGTAGGCAGATCTCTATGAGTTTGAGGTCAGCCTGGTTTACAGAAACAGTGCCAGGTTACACAGAGAAACCCTGTCTAAAAACAAAACACAACAAAAAACAAACAAACAAACAAATAGGAATATTTTTTTTTCTCTCTGAGAGATTTTGGAGAGAGACAGACATTAATTCTCACACTGGAGATTTTTGGAGACGTCTCTGAGATGCACTGAAATTGGAGCGAGGAAGCGATGGTGGTCCTACTGATAACACAAGCAATGCCAGAGGCAGGTCTGACGGGGGGGAAAAGCCAGCAGGCTCAGGTTGGGTTCACAGCATGGCATTCACATGACCATGTTTCCAACCGACTGAGCCTTGAACTCAGTAGAGAGGCCAGGGCTTGAAGATCAGGGAGCCAACAAGATGGAGAGAAACAAAAGGGAGGAAATGCTGAAGGCCGAACCTACAGAGGACACAGCAGCAGCCACTGCCTTTGCTGGCTTGTAAGAGTGATGGAGACTTCTACACACTTCTTAGCTTGTAGCATACCTCTGCAGTGTTGGCTGATGGGCAGCAGCCTGTTGTGGATAATCTTTTTGTACTACACTGTGAAGAAGTTTCACTCGGATTGGTCTAATTAAAAGCTGAATGGCCAATCACTAGACAGGGTTTCCAGGCACAGAGGATGCTGGGGAGAGAAAGGGCAAGTACTCCAGGTATGCAAAGGGAGCATGGTGGGTCCCCTACGAGTAAGGTGATAAGGCCTCGAGGCAGAAAGTAAATACAAAGGAATGGGTTAATTTAAGTTTTGAGAGCCGGTTAGAAACAAGTCTAAACTATCAACTGAGCTTTCATAATTAGTAATAAGTCTTCATGTCATTATTAGGGAGTTGATCATATGACAAAAAAGTCTGACTACAAATGGCATCCAACCATTTGTTGTGTGGGCTCAAATATCCAAATACAGGACCTGAGAAAGTGGGAAAAAAAGGTATAGGCAAAGAGCCAGATGTAACTTCTTAGTTCTGCAGTCTGTCAGCCTGGTGCTCAGGGTCATACAGAGGCACAGCCACCGGCTGATGCCTGCAGGCTGGAACCATCGACCAGCACCATGTGCCAGCACCGTGAGCTAAGCTGATCCAGGCAGGTGGCTGACTTAACAGTTTAAGATTTGCCTCACACAATCATAGAATGTTGCAAATGCTTAGTAAAGACAGATACAGATGGAAAGAACCTCTACACAGGTTATAGTGCATTCAAAAGTGTGCACAGGTTTAAGAAAGAAAAGAAAATGGTATCAACAGTCATAGAAAAAAGAAAAGCATTTATAAATAATTTAAAAAATCAAGCCATGCAGAGATGGGAAATGCACAGGAGTCTGGACTCTGTATGGTGCTGTGTTGACTTTAATTTTTTTGATTGCTGATGAGCAAGCCATAGCTGCTGAGAAACATCCGATTATTAAAAAAAAAACTACTAAATGAAACCAACCTATTCATTTTAAAGATGTTTTAGCTTCAAAATGGAAGTAAAACAATATGTTACTATGAGGTTATGCTTTTACTTCCAAGGAAATAAAAGGCTGTGGATTTATTCAAGGTCAAAAGAGCTCTGATTTGATTGGGTGAGTACCCCTTGAAAATCCTGACTACAGACATGAAGAAACAACCTAGAAAATCAACAAGGCAGGTGATGTACATTTTAATGCTCAAACATAAAACAAGAAATCACCTTTGGCTGGCTTGTGTACAGTGCACAGTCTATACTTGTGTTAATGCAGATATATATGTTATCTTCAAAAGTTTTGTGTGTTTTCAGAGCAAGGGGACCAGACACCAATGAAAATGGGTGGTCCAAGTGATTCAGTCTCTCAGAGCGCCTCTATTTCAGTTTCCTCAGAGTTCTGCATCCAGAACAGCTTTAAGGCTGTTAGCTGAGATGGTCCAGCCTCAAAGACTATTCTAGCCAGGATTTGACCATTGTTTAATTTTCTCAGGGTCCCCTAAAAATGCCAGTGCCCCCAGGAAGCAGCCTGAAGAACATTACAGCCACTTTCAGAAGAGGTAGGGTGGGAGGTTTTTGGTTATTCAGTGGGTTATGGATGGTTGTCATTGTTAAGGGGGTTGGTTACAAGTTGTTATTGGTCATGGTCAGGGAGAAAGCTAATCAGAGGAGATTAGCTACAAGGACTTTTTCCTAAGGGAAAAAGGGAGACTATAATATAGAACCAGTGAGATAAGAGGGTGGATCATTGAATCTACTTTTGAACAATCACTAGTCTTAAATATTTTACATTGATGTGTATTTTTGTATACTGATGCAATTTAAGATTTTTTTGTTACACTGTATATATGTTTCTATCTTGTTTAAGAGATTGTACATATGCAACTCATTTAAAAATGAAATGTAAAGTTTTAGTCCTTGAAAGCTATTTAGGAGAACAAGGAAATATAGGTTAGTTGCCAATCATTTATAACAATTAAAATTATAGTCATGTCAGATATGTTTTCAAAGTCAATCAGAGACATTTTAAAAAGATTGTCTTCAAATACTTTGGAGACCTACAGAATATAGCATTTTAATGTTTTATTTTATTTTTTTAAATATTTATTTCTTTATTATGTATACAATATTCTGTCTGTGTGCATACCTCCAGGCCAGAAGAGGGCACCAGACCCCATTACAGATGGTTGTGAGCCACCATATGGTTGTTGGGAATTGAACTCAGGACCTTTAGAAGAGCAGGCAATGTGGCTCAGAGGTTAAGAGCATTTTAATGTTTTAATAGCACAAAGCTTTCATGACAATGAGACATGTCTGATCTTGGAAGCACCAATTTACTTCATAAAAGAAAGATGGCCATTGAAGAACCTCCACAAGGTGTTTGCTTTCTTTATGGCAAAAATTAGCTATTTGGGCAAGAAACTGTTCTTGTCTCAACTGCTGACAGTATGCTGTCCAAATTGGACAAGCAGGATACCAAAGAAAATGACTGCTGAACTTTTTTAAGACCAGGTACAACCTTCTGCTTTATGGAAAAGTCTGTAAGATATTCTAGACCGAAAGGCCAAAGATGGAAGCCACCAGAATTACAGAGGAACCTTGGGTGACTTTCCAGGAAGTCAGCTGTTTTGTCATTTTTCATAGATTTGGAAGTTGCTTGCTTTGCACTTTTTATGCACTCAACTAATATTTTATCCTCCTTGGTTCTATGATAGGAACTCCAGACTAGAGAGTTATAGTTTTATAGTTTTCCTTGTTACCAAATTCAGAAAAGAAACTTATATAAGAGGTGTAATGTTTAGAAGGTTGAGAAACATAAAAGCTTAAGTTGTTTATCTAAAAAAAACGTTTTAAGGTCTAAAAAAGATATTTTTAGGATGATAATACAGGTTATGAAAAATGGTTTAGATATAAATTTTGGGCTAAAATAGGAGATATAATGGAATATTTTCTATAAATTTTCATAATGCAAATGGACTGGGCATTGTAAATGTAATTCTTACCCGATAATTGTTTTTTATCATGTACAGTTTTACTGCACTAGAGTTAAACCTTTTCCTTTTTTTATCTAGACAAAAAGGGGAAATGTTGTGGAATAATCTTTTTGTACACTCTGAAGAAGTGCCACTCTAATTGGTTTAATAAAAAGCTGAATGGCCAAAAACTGGGCAGGATTTCCAGGCACAGAGGATGCTGAGAAGAATAGGGCAGAGACGCCAGGGACACAAAGCAAGCAGGATGGGCACTAGGGAGACGAGGAAATAAAGGAGAAAGTAAATTAATAGAAATGGGTTAATTTAAGTTATAAGAGCCAGTTAGAAACAAGCCTAAGGTATTGGCTAGGCTTTCATAATTACTAACAATAAAATTAATAATTAATAACAAGCCTCCCTGCCATTATGTCATCACTGGGGAACTGATAGTCCTGTCGAAAACTCTGACTACAGAGTCCTTTCGGCATTCCTGGTTCTGCTTGGTCTCCTGAAGGTTGGGTCTCCTTCCACGTTTGCATACCGACTCTGAGTTTTCACTATTGGTGTTCAGTGCTCATCCACAGCCTTCCAGGTCAGAATCAAAGACTTCGAGATTTCCTGCAATACCTTCTCTTCACAAAGCCTGGCCTGCCTCCCTGTCTCTGTCTAGAATAGATTTGGATTTCTCTTTCTCAGCTGGATACAGAAAGGAAAACATCATGAGCCTTTCTAGCGACCTGGCTCTTCTTGACTCTACTGAATTGCTTTCTAAAGGCTGCAATCCCTTGTCTGCCTCTCTAGTACATTCACGATAAATATTGTTGAGTTTTTGAATGAGCAGTTGGATAATGAATGAATGAATGAGTGCATTATGGCCCTGTTAAAACCTACACAAATCATATACCATGCTATGATCTAAACAGAGCATTAACACAAGAATTATTGCCAGGCAGTTGTGGCACACGTCTTTAATCCCAGCACTCGGGAGGCAGAGGCAGGCAGATTTCTGTGAATTCGAGACCAGCCTGGTCTATAATAGCTAGTTCCAGGACAGGCTCCAAAGCTACAGAGAAATCCTGTCTCGAAAAAACAAAAACAAAAAAAACAAAAACCAAAAAAAAAAAAAAACAAAAACCAAAACCCCAGGAATTATTACCTTCACTCATTATCCCCAAGGAAACAATCTCTCCAGGTGGTGAGCCATGATACCAGTACTTCAGTGTGGTGGCTATGCTGTGTGCAGCCAAAATGCCCCCAAATTCCTTTCCAGTGCTGCTCAAGTTCCGAAGCCTCATCACAAACTCTTTCGTTACCCACTCACTGCAAGAAAAGAGAGAAGCAATTTCCCAACAGAGAGAGGGATGGAAAGGATATCCTCTGAGCCCTGGAACTCAGCACAGAGAGCTCTATGTGCCATCTAGACAGTAATGTGACCCACAAACCCTTTCTTCTGGCGTCCTCATTACCTATGAAAGCAATGCAATTGGGCAGAAAGGAACAATTAAATTTCAGTCTGAAGTGTAGTAGTAAATTATGGAACACTGAAAAGATACCATAGGCTACAAAAAAAATTCTTTTATTCTAAGTAATTAATTATATGTCGATGCTTTCTTGGGACCGATCAGACCCTTCATTTAAAATCAAATACGTTCATTGAACAGTGAATCATTCACAATGAGATTTGGGGTAACATGTTTTATAGTCTTGAAGGATAAACTCAGGAAAGAGCTGAGCTGGATGAAAGCAAGGTTTGCCCCATTAGCCAGGCAGAGAATGGTCCCAGATCCCTGCAACATTGACCCTGTGCAGGTAGCACACACAGAAGACTGGGGTTTCGGGAGAGGGAGCCCAGCACACCTGGTTCCTCGGTATGGATACCATCCCCTGGTCTAAAGAGGGCAGGGCAATAAAGGATGGGGGAAAAGGAGAGGCCGCACTGGGGAACTGGGGCAGCGATGAGAACGGTGCTTCAGGAGCTCTGGCTACCTCTCCTTTCTCATCATCATGCAGGCGTTAAGATGAATTCATTAATTTCCCCATTTCTTCTATATGTGACAGGCCACATTACCATTTCTGTTCTATCAGTAGAGCCACGGAGGCACAAATTTGATGTAACTTCCCCAAAGCCACACAACTAATAAATGATGTTGAATTCCACCTCAGGAGGTTTTCTGCTCCTGGGACACATGGCTTCTCAGCTCCGCCTCTCTTGGGACTTAATGGTAAACCTGACAGTGCTCGTCATCACAACTCCTCTTCCTCCAAATGCTCAACTACTTTCTCCTTGATATACATCTGTCTTTATATTGACATCTGCTTTGCGTACACCTACTTTAGAGACAACTTTGGCAGAATACATAAACTACTTTCTGGGCGATTTGAAATGTAAAAATTCATGATTTTAAACCAAATCAAATGGGGATGAGGGCCAATAAGTTACTATTCTGTGGATTTTTCTGATTCTTTGGTAGAAAACAAAAAATGTGCATAAACAATACAAGTTATTTTATGCAAATTTTACAAGATGTTTCAATAGTGCTTTCAACTGTTATATATCATTATATTATTATCTAAGTCTATATACACTATATTATTATCTAATGTTAGTATATTTCACTTAAAAATATACTGTACCTGTCAAAAATCAAGTTTAACACTGGGTGACAATATCCAGGAGGTCCCTTAATAGCACAGTCATAGTCATAAACTTTGGCTTTCCTCAGATCAACGTAGTTATTTCCACTGATATTACCCCAAATTATTACATCTTTGATGCCTATACAGAACAGAATCAGAAATAATCATAAGGACCATCAATATAAAATTTACTTAAATGCAAAGCTTTGTATCTATTTGTTTTAGGGTTGAGCCAATGAATCCAAGCTCTCTAGCCTGTGCTGAAGCTGGGGTTCACCTCCCTAATTATCAGGGCTTGGTTGTCACTAGTGCTGTCTTGGGAATCGTGGACTAGATGGGTAATTCAAGCAATACTGAGAACCTGCCGTGAGAGATCGCTAATGGAAATTGTATCCTTTGTGTTGCTCAACTTCTATCTATCTATCTATCTATCTATCTATCTATCTATCTATCTCTCTGTATCTATCTATCTATCTATCTATCTATCTCTCTCTCTCTCTATCTCTCTCTCTCTCTCCCACAACCCCCCCCCCCCACAGGGATGTGTAACGCACAAGCATGTATGGGTGAGCGTGCTCATGTAAGCTAGAAGTTGCATTGGGAATCTTACTCAGCCACTCTTCTCTGTATCTTTTAAGAAGGGGCATGCCTGGCTGGCCAGTGAGTCCTGGAGATGCGCCTGTCTCCATCCCGGTGTGCTAGGGTTACATGTAGTTATGTATGTAGTCACACCTGATATTTTACTGACTGAGATGTTTCCCTGGCCCTAAGGGAAACTTTTCAACTGTTTGGATTTTGAAAATGCCCTTTTGATTCTAGACTGAACTAGAAATGTACATAAATGACAACTCTCTGGAGGTTTCATCACTTGTGAAATAATATTGTTCATGGGAGGTACTTTTAGAAACAAGGTTTAAACCAGGCAGCGGTGGCGGCACACACCTTTAATGCTAGCACTCGGGAGGCAGAGGCAGCCAGATCTCTGTGAATTCAGGGCCAGCCTGGTCTACAGAGTAAGTTTCAGGACAGCAAAAGCTACCCAGAGAAACCTTGTTTCAGAAAAACAAACAAACAGAAGAAAGAAAGAAAAAAAAAACCAAGGTTTAAGAGAAAACAAACCAGCCAAAAGGATAGAGGGGATAAATGAGAAAACAATACCACAGTTATATTTGTTAGTTATATATCTATGGAGAAAAATAAAAGAATATGAGCTGGAGAAAATAAGAATTGGAATTTAATATTTGTGATTTTGCAACTGTTGATTTTGTAGAAGGGTTTACGCAATTTAAAAAAGAATTTTATTTATTCACTCATTTATTGTTTTAGGTAGGGTTTCTATTGTAATGAGATCATGATCAAAGCTATTGTGATGGAAAGGGTTTATCTGGCTTACAGTTCAACACTGTAGTCTACCATTGAAGGAAGTCAGGGGGGGAATTTGGAAGCAGGGGCTGATGCAGAGGATACGGAGAAGTGCCATCGACTGGTTTGCTCCCTTTGGCTTTCTTTAGCACAAAGGACCACCACACCACCCACAATGGGCTGGGCCCTCTCCCATCAATCACTAATTTAAAAATGTCCTACAGGCTTGCCTACAGCCTGATCTTATGGAGGCATTTTCTCAGTTGAGGTTCCTTCCTCTCAGATGACTCTAGCTTGTATCAAGTTAACATACAACTAACCAGCACATCTATGTACTTAAAATCTGTATCCAGGAGATTAAATTCTTGTCTGTTCTTTTGTAGGAAAAAGAGTATTAGAATAAGCTTTAGGGTAAATGTTGAATCTGCATGCAAGAAGGCAGAAGTATTCCGAGCTTTCCTGCCAAGAGATGACTGACAGCACTGTCTGGTCCTGGCTGGCACCCTGTGCTGCACTTAAATGGCTGTCAGTTCCCATCCACGGTCTCCCCAACTTTTGTTTCCAGCATGCCTGTAATTCCATCCTTAGAAATGCTGTTAGTCTAGACATAAAGGACCAGCTCTAAGGATGCAGAGCTAAAATACACTAAATGTGATCCAGTCTTATTTTCATATGATTCTGATATCTATCAATAGAAAGATCAATAACGAAATTTAATTAGATATAATAAACCTGCAGGTTTAATCTCCTTTTAAGTTTTACTGTGCATCAGGCAGCTCTCATGGGCACTTTTGAAATACTGACTGTGGTGGTGTGAATGATAATGCCCTCATAGGCTCATATGTTTGACTACTTGGTCCCAGCTGGTGCAACTGTTTAGGAAGGATTAGGAGGTGTGGCCTTTTTGGAGGAGGTGTGTCCCTGGGGGTGGGCCTCAAGTTTATAGGTCAGATGTAAGCCTGCAGCTCCTGCTCCAGCAGCATGCCTGCCTGCTGCCATGCTCTCTGCCACCATGATCATGGTCTGAACCCCCTGAAACTGTAATCAAGCCCCCAATTAGATGCTTTCTTTTATAAGTTGCCTTGGTCAAGGTGTCTCGTGACAACAGAAAAGTGACCCTGACGTTGTCTCTTTGGATCTTCACATTGATTCCAGGAGGGAGTTGCTGTTTTTAAACATGATAATTCTGAGGACAGAAGTGGGAAAGGAGGCAAAGCTGTTTTTACAAAGCCTTGAGAATTTGTAAACAACACACACCACTTTCCCCATTCTTATTGTGGGGAAAGTGGGATATTAGGTTAAAAATATTACTTGACTAATAGATATCTTATTACAACAAATATTTGCTAATTTTATAATGATGGGCAAAGTCACAAAGGTGGATGAAGAGAAGCTTGCACAGCCCCTGTCCTCATCCACAGGGTTGCCTCAGTTAGACACTTTCTCTTTTTATGGAGGATGCAGCAGGTTTGGTGCTTGCCTGGGTTCTCGGGCCTGCTAGGCAAGAGTTCTACAACTAACCTACAATTCTGTCCCTGCACTTGATTATATGAAAAATTCCAAAAATAAGCAGTGGGTAACTTTTAGGTCACTTTAATTATTGTATGTTGTTATTGTTAGCTTATTAGGTTATCACTCTTTACTGCTGTTAGTCTTTCATGGCCCCGGGTTTATGAATTAAACTGGATCACAATATATGTGTACAGGAAAAAGCTAGGTAGGGAGGATGGGGTTGTTAAGTGGCATCCCCCAATGAGGGAGGACCACACTGGCTCCACCCATCACTCCTAAGACACTCCTTACATCTCTCTTCTACTTCTGTGTCACACACCCTAGGTGGTCCTGTAGGATGCAGTTTTCCTTCCCCACTTTTTGACCCATGTATCAAAGCACAAACAGGACAGTAGGCGTTCACTCACTGGCTGGGGTTGTTTTCATCTTCCGGGCCACCATTGCTTTTGCTTGGCCTTCCACCCCCAGAGCCACCGCAATGATGTTGTGCGCGATATTAGGGGCATATTGCATAAGCAAGGCTGTTTTAAGATTCACAAAGGTTTTCCCGCCCACGATGACCTTGACGGACTCGTGAGCATTTTTTTCCATCAGGTAACCGTAGAGGCGGCACAGTGGCACCCGGCTTCTCAGGCAGCTCTCCAGGGTGCACACTTCCTCGTCTGTGCTGTCATCCAGGATGACGATGACTTGGGCCCCGAGGAAGGCATCCTCCGTGTTGGTGCAGAGGGAGATGCTGCGGAGGATGGGCGATGCCAAGTCCTCAATTTCCACCACTAAGCTTTCCAGGTAGCTTTCCATCTGCTCCCGGTCAAACAGGGTCAGGCTGATCTCTCTGTGCATTCCAAACACTTCTCCACTTAGCAAGATGGGGATTATGTGGTAGCATGCAGTATTGCTCGCGCTGATTAAATGCAAAAGTTGGATGGAAAATGGTTAGGTCCTTTGCTCATTTACACATTTTACTCTTAACAGATATTTCTGTGTGTGCTCCATAGGATGAGTCACTGTTTTCCATGGAAACCCTCCCACCTGCACAGACGTGCCTAAGGATCCCAAGCGGAATGAGAACGTCTCACTCCTCACACATCCTGGCATCTGGGAATACAACAAAGTAAGAGCTGACTGGTGTATTGGATGTTTCAGATGAAAGAGCTTGATCGCGTGCAGAAAACAAAGCAAGAACAAATAACTAAGCAGGCAAAAGCTCGCTTCAGACTCTTCTGCTTCTCTGTGGAAAGACAAAAGTGCCTGCTTCAGTTAGCCACCGCCTTTTCCATCTTTATCTAGGAGTGATTGCCTTTAGTTTGGGGCAGACTATCTTTCCCATAGTTTCACAAAGCAAAGGCTTTCCTGAAATAGCGAGGATAAGCACTGAATGTTCACTCTATCCGAAACTAACTGTACCTGAGTCTTCTATTTCAGTGATGATCAACTGTGGGGAGTTGGAAATTGCATCTGAGAACATCTACTTCTCTTGGTGGACTTGGGGAAGACACAGAGGTGATATCCATTTCAGTTCTTTCTTTTGGAGAGGGTCATGGATATCTATGTACAATTTCTGAATCTTTTTAGTGTTTGTAGTTTTCCATAATTTTACATATTTCCTTCAAGCAGGTGTATGTTAGGACACCACATATTGCAAGAAGGACAATGTGAGTTAGACAGAGGGGATGGAAACTCAGAGAGAAAGAATAACACAGAGAGAGGGCAGAGATGGAAAAAGAGGAAGTGACAAGCGGGGACACCGAGAAGCACACTTGAGAAGGAGAAAAGGAAGACTTTGGGGATCAGGATTGCGTGCGTGCAAGAGAAAGAACCATGGGAATCCAGCAGGTGGGGAAGAGGGAGGGAGCAATGATCATAGGACACACGCCAGCAAAGCTGGTTTAGATCGTGTGAAGACCCGTACACACATGAATCTTAAATCACACGGGGATGGGTGCTGGAGGATAGAGAAACTCGTGTCCATGCACCAACCCAGACCTGTGAACACAATCATACACACATGCGTCTCGAACATTTTTTGGTGTTCTTTCATTGTGCAATCAATCCCATCTCACTATCCTTTCTAAAAAATAAAAACCCAGACTCCTAAATCCTGGAGCTTCACCTGGCAATCCAGACCTGCAGGGGGGTGATGAGATCTTTCAGGGTTTTTTTCTCCACCTCTTCTTCTATATGTGCCTCCAGGTTCTCTTTAGCAATGAGCATCATCAGGTCCGTTGTCATGCTGGAAGTGACACCATAGTAAAGCTAAATATCAGAAAAAAAAAGCTCAACCTCAGAAAACAGAACATGGTCAGACAAAGACTTGAACAGAAAACAGGCAAGGAGAAAAATGATGTAATGGCTTAGAAAGCAAGACATTTGAAATACAAAATAATGTCAAGAGAAAGATATTTGAACAGATAAGCAATGCAGTTCCCACACCTGGGCGTGCTCCAGGAATTCATTGTATCCTCCCAAAAGCAAGCCCTTGCCTCCACGGTCCAGTAGCTCTCTCCAGATAATGGGGGAGGTGCTGTGGTCCCATTTATTCTTTTCACAAATGTCTTCTAGCCACTCCTGTGGAAAAATATTCCAATAAAAGTCATATATTAAATCTGCCTAAGAATTCAGTTCAGTATTCTTGGATTTAGACAACAAAGGATCAGCTTGCTTTTAATGCTACTATGTGTGCACAATACATTTAGATACCTTCAAATGGAAAAATATAAACCTAGAAAATGGTCGTGAGCCTGGTTGCTCATGACTTTAATTGTATCACTGGGGAAGCAGAGGCAGGTGGATCCCTGTGAGTTCCAGGTCAGTCTGGTCCAGATAGGAACTTCCGAGTCAGTCAGGGCTAATGGTAAGATCTGAGAAGCAGGGAGGACAGCATTCTTATCGGTAAGGTACAATTGAGTGGTCCTAAAGCCCCACCCCTGGAGGCACGTGTACTGAGGCCATCTCACAAACAAACTCTATTTCTAGCTAATTCTGAAGATGTCCATGCTCTCAGTTCATCCCAAAGCAAGAAGACAGATATTTCCAACACGGCCTCTCTAAAGCACTGTACCACTTGGCTGGTGACACACTGGGCTGGGGGAAGAATGTGATCTACTCCGAGAGACTGTTCCGAGGAGAATATGCCAACGTTCTTTCAGGCCCTGGAAGAATGTGTAGGACCGAATACTCAGAGTCCTGAATCCGGAACGGAACCTAAAGGTGGGCAGGAAGATTTCTTCAGTGTGACTCACTCTTCTGCAGTTTGGGAGGGCACACCCCTGTGGAGACCCCAGAATACAGTGGTAATGTGTTACTTGATTGGTAGTCAGAAGTTTGGGAGGGCACACCTCGTGGAGACCCAGAATATAGTAGTAGTATGTTACTTGACTGGAAGTCAAAAGTTTGGAGAAAATGATGTTTCAAATAAAGTAGAAGTAGTAAACCTGCCAGGGAGGATGTGGAAGCAGAGGTCAAAGGTGTAGGGCACGGCTGCTGAGATGACTCTGTGGGTTACAGTGATTGTCACCAAGCCCGCCAACAATTCCATTTCTGGGACCTGCATAGTCAAAGAATAAAACTGACTCAGCAAAATATTCTCTCACCTTCCCTTACATCTTAGCACATGCAGGCCTTACCACAAAATAAATAAATACCTAAGTTAATTTCAAAAGGCTAGTGGGCACAGGGTATAGGAATCAACCACATTTTGGGGGGCCAGACAATGCTTAATTCACCAGAGTCACAAGAAACACAGTAAAAATAAAAGGAGCCTTGTGTGGCTGCCAACTGGGATGATAAAATATGGAGGTCCAGAGCACGGGGAAGTGTTCTCTAGAGAGTATCAGCTTTGAGAGGAATACTGGCCAGCGCCACAGACGTGATGACGTGGACAGTCACAAGAAGTTAGGCAAGAGTTCAAGAGAAGGGCTTGTAGTCTTAAAACCCTAGGTAGTTCTTACCATGGCTGAAGGATCAGCAAGCCAGCGACAAAAACCAGTGCTAGCATTTGATGACGGCACCATCCTTGGAGGACGTCAAAACTGCCTCTGTGAGAAACAGAAGACTCTGGCTTCTCTTCACGAGGTAAGGCAAACAATCTGTCTAGACTGAAATCGGCAGACGCGCTGGGTAGGGAACTCCCTTTCCTGCTCTTTGCGCTTTCAGCAGAAACCCTGCCAGAGACTTTAGGAAATGCTTGACCTGCCAACTCTAGGTCCTGCACATATCTGTGAACCAAGGGGATCGCTTTATAAGAGAAGGGGTACAGTGCTGAGCATCACCAAGCTTGAGAGAGGGGCAACGCAGGCCAGCAAAGCTGCAGATACCAGCTAGAAGACTGACACATGGCAAGAACGACCCCGCTCCTCCCAGTCACAAAATGTATTATACGTCAGTGTAGACTACTTAGACTTCAGGAACCAGGGGGGCAGAATTAAGAGAGACCTTGTTCACCATCATTCCCAGGGGCCCTCTTAGAGAATTTATGCTTCCCCAATTTTCTTTAGTCTGTGTGAGTTGAAAGGTTTTAAAAGTCTGAAGAGGAGCTTTTCTGGCAGAGGACACAAGAAGAATCCCACCTTTAAGCTATCGCCAACACTGGTCACAGTGAGATGAGAGACCAGGGGGCAAAGAAAGAAGTTGTTGCTATGGAAGGGGTAACTGGGCCTGCTAATCGGGAGACTGTACAACAGCTACTACCCAGAGTAAAGCATATTTAACATCCAGGTTATAATTTGAGCGTCTTTGGCAATGCTATACTCACTTTTGACCATACAAGGGGCAAAGTGTAATGGCTGTGTCTTTCAAAGGGACTGGGGCTCACATCCCCTAAGTATACAGAAGGAGGCCATCCCACCTAACACGTGGCCTAGAGCGGTAGAGGGAGACCTCTAATGGAGGGCAGGGAAGAGAGATGAGCGCCAGTTAGACTCTGAAACCATGTGCAATGGGGAATACAGTTCCTTAACAAGCCTTCCCTTAATAAAGTCTTCCCAGGGAAAGATCTTGATCTTCATCCCAGTACAGCTGTTACCAGATGCTGTGAATTTCCTTAATGGAGCACATGGGTTCAGAGGCACAGCACGTGGACTGTAGCAGATAGTCACGCACAGTCCAGGTTCCTTCCCGCCTATAACCAAGGTATCTGTGGCCTCAGTCACTAGAGATACCAGAGGTCATTGTTAAGGACTGACCTCAGCTAAAGAAATTCCCCTTGACGAAGAGTAAGCTCCCTTTCTTGGGGCAGTGCCTGTCAGGTGACTGGTTGATGCTCGCTACCTGTCTTTAGCATGGGGTGCCTCTGAAGGGATCCCCAGCATGCTCTGGAGGACCTGCTGATGCCTCTGCTGTAGCTGTGTCGTAGCTCCCCCACCCCCTTTCGCCTAATGCTGCTGCCTTCATCTTCATTTCTTCCTAGGATGTCCTAAGAGCGATTTCCAGTAAGTCTTCATCATCAAATTCTCCACCTTAAAAGTCTGTTTAGTGGGCGACGCAGCCACAGATACAGATGTCTCAAATAGGTCCTCATACCAGTATGACTCCGTGTGAAGGAGAAAGGAAAGGCTAAGAGTAGTGCGTGTTAAACACGAACTACCTGTTTTCATGGCAGGGGCGGGGTGGACTCAGCACATTTATCCCACTTATTGGAGTCTCCTTTGTGCTATTAGGTGTGAGAAAAGAACATGTTTTGAGGCTGATAAGTAGGAACTCCTTTTTACTAGTATCCAAATGTCATTAATCCATCATCATCAGAATACAGTCATCATCGGAAGCCCAAACGATGCCCTAGCAAGTATTTAATCAAAGTAGAACCCTTTCTCACATAAACACATTTAATAATGGTAAAGGTTCTTACCTCCCACACATCAGGATGCTTTGTGATTTTAAAAATCCGAAAATCAGGAAGATTCTTTTGCAAATAGTCTGCCAGGAGTTCTGCCTTGGCGTAGTAAGGGCAGTTTGCTTTCCCTGGAAGAGTTCAAGTGAGCTAAGCTTTCTTTCTTTTTTTTTTTTTTTAAAGCTGTAAAATTTATTTATTTATTTATTTATTTATTAATTTATTTATTTATTAAGGATTTCTGCCTCGTCCCCGCAACCGCTTCCCATTTCCCTCCCCCGATCAAGTCCCCCTCCCTCATCTGCTCGAAGAGCAATCAGGGAGCACGAGCAAGGAACTCAGGACCACGAGGGGTGCACCCACACACTAAGACAATGGGGATGTTCTATTGGGAACTCACCAAGGCCAGCTGGCCTAGGTCTGAAAAAGCATGGGATAAATCCGGACTAGGTGAACATAGCGGACAATGAGGAATACTGAGAATTCAAAAACAATCGCAGTGGGTTTTTGATCCTACTGCACGTACTGGCTTTGTGGGAGCCTAGGCAGTTTGGATGCTCACCTTACGAGACCTGGATAGAGGTGGGCAGTCCTTGGGCTAAGCTTTCTTTTGACACACACACAAATTGCCATGCTGCTATCAGGACTTGACAGACACTTAGAGAATGCACCATGGCCATAATATAACAAAATTACAAAATAACCTTCTATAACACAAACCTCAAGTTTTCGTTATATTAATAAAAATAAGAAATATTTCATAGATAAGGATCTTACCTAATAAAATGTTGTAGAAAAGAGAATGTTTTAAATATTTACCCTCCTCCAGTACTCTGCTATACCACATAGGAAACTGTAGCATACTATTTAAGCATGGCATACTAATACTGACAGTGAACTCATTAGAAGCCACCCCGGGGTCCAGGAAGGCGGCTCAGCTGATAAAGGAACTTGCCTCCCAACCTGATGGCACGAGTTTGATCCCCAGGACACACGTGGAAGAAGGACAGAAGCAACTCTTGTAAGTTCTCCCTTAACCTCTGCAAGCTCCCCTCCCCTGACCGCACACATAAAACAGATAAAACCAACACCAGAAGGTAAAAGGAGTGGAAATACAGCCCCTACAGATGTTACACACGGTCCAGAACCGTGGGGAGGCTGAGGGGGACCCCTATAGATTTGACACACGGTCCAGAACCGTGGGGAGACTGAGGGGGAAGGACCCATCTGGAGCTAACTTCTATTTCCTAGCTGACCTTATCTGAGAGAATCATGGGTGAGCTGCTCAGACAAGCGCATTAGGAAGGACAGGCAGAGCACAGGGGCGCATAACAGTGGGAGGGCGTCTGATCCAACCTGGGGTGCAGGTGCCACTGGGCAGCTGCAGGCGCACATTTTGCAGTGAGGACCACATAGGAAGTTAAACCTCCCCAAGAGAGCAGGTGGATGTGAGTTTAGGAAGACAGGCTAAGTGCAGCAGCTCCTGTGGAACATCCTTCCTTAACCTCATGAACCCCTCAACATCAATTCTTCTCAACACCTCTGTATGTATAAACCTCTCTGTCTAGTTCAAACCCATTGTTAATTACTTCAAACCCACTTTATGGCTCACGTTTAATTATCCTGTCCATTTCCTGGGAAGTTAGCTTGTCAAAGCCCTGCACTCTGCTTTGACCTCAATTACCTGCCTTTTCTGAATCTGGATTCCTTCTGCCCAGACATCACTGGGAAGATAATGGATCTAAAGAATGGAGAAGCTTCCAAAGGAAAGGGGTCTTGTACTCTGACTCCCGCTTTTGTCTTCTGAAAAGCCTTGCTCAACAAACTATTCCCACCCCATTAGACACTTTGTTATGTTTCTCGGGTCTCCTTTCAGGAATATTTAAAATGCATCCAACTTAAACTTCACTCTCTCCTTCCACTGAGTCCTTGTCTCTTCTTCCCAGGCACTGCTTTCTATGTGCCCCTTTCTGTTAAAACTTCTTTTAAAAATCCTCTGTCCTTGGCGCTTATATTTTCATTCATTTATTATTCCACTATAACCTAGCATCTCTCACAGTTTCCAGGAAGGAAATTGTATTAAGTATACATTACATATTTTTGCATAATTATACTTTATATTATATACAAGATGCTAGGAAATTATTATATAAAGTTTATTAAATGTAAGTTAAATACAAAAAAAATTAAGAACCCTGAGGTCCTTACTACAATAAGCAGTTTTTAACTCTTTCTTCTTGGCGCTGGTAGTGTTTATCAGTCTTGCCTGTTTCCACTTCCTGTGGCGTAATTCCTGGAGTGCCACCACTATGGTGGTATACTCCGCAGGCTTTCCTTCTAAATCCCTGGCTAGTCATTTCTATACTTTGCAAGTTCCGGTTTCCTCATCAATCCATTGAGTGGTACCGTTCGGCAAGGCACACATTTTCATACTTTTTCTGTATAGTTTGCCGGTCAAGTTCCTTGTTTTCAAGTAGCAATCTAATCCTATCTCAAGCACAGTGTCGTATCCAGACGCCTGCGCTTTCCCACGTTCCACATCTCTTTCCGAATGTGTCACGGGCACTTGGATTCCCTTCTGAAAAGACCGAGGTGACAAGCACCACCTCGTTCCAGTCCTCCACTGGGTTTGTTTAAACAGTTCTCAGCCCTCCACTCCTCCAGCGCCCCCTCCCCCCAACACATTTGGGATTTGCGTGGCCTTGACCATGTTCTGGATGTATTAATCAAAGTAATTAACGCAATTTAAGATAACTAAAAAAGACATCATTGAAAAATAATTGTCTTGGTGTGTCTGAAATAATTACTAAGCTCTGCCGGGAATGAGTTTTTCAGCGATATTCTGACCCTCACCTAACTTCGATGTAAATTACAGATGTAAAAGGTAGGTTTTGCCTTTAAAAATGCTGTACCCCTGAGCCTGGCCACCAGGGGACTTTTCAGAGTCACGAGCCCACTTTTATTCTAGCCATTAATAAAAGAACTAAAAACTTTTACTGGCTTCATCAGTGCAGTTGACAATAATTATCTCATGTGGGTCATTTCAATTCTAAGTCCTAAATCTCCTAGAGAAGTTATGTCAACACATCTCCTTATTTAAGAATATTAAGGGTAGTTGGGTGCAGTGGTGTATACCTTTAATTCCAGCACTCTGGAGGAAGACATAGAATTTGAGTCCAGCCTCAAATCAGCCAGGGGCTACATAGCAAGACTCTGTCTCAAAAGAGAGAAAGTACTACGAGTACCTAGATTATTAAACTTATTCTTCTGATGAAAGTTTTTCAGATAACCCCAATCTACCTAGCTGTCCATTGTTTAGGAGTCTAACTTTTCCTTTATTTCCTGTGTCATTTAGTGAACTAGACATCTTGTTCTACACATTTTGTCTCTCAGATTGCTCCCTAGTCCATTTGTTTTCTCCATTCATACTGACCACAATGCTAAACCCGTTGCTTCCTACACTTGCTAGAATCTCCTAACCGTCCTCTTGCTGTATCCATAACACTCGGCGGGTAAGATAAAATTTCCATTGCTTATATCTTTTTTATTTTTTTATTTTTGCCTTATATCTTTAAGGGAAATTTTCCACATACTTTGGTCAAAGTCTAAACTATGGGACGTGCCTCAGGAGAATCTGTGTTGTCTCCCTCTGTCTTCGGCTTAGGACACTCTTCCCTGCACCCTTTCTTCCAGTCCTACTCGACTCATTTCAATTGCATGATTATCAAATCCTCTCAGTTACCACCAAATTTGACTATGATTTCCAGCCAGACCTAGGGACTGGGACCGTGGCTTCGTGGTTCTCTGGCATCTGCACCATCAAGTGCTCTCAGATATTGTGGAATATTCCTTTACCCTGTGTGAAGATATGTCACTGGGGTTGGTTTGATAAAAAGCTCAATGGTCAATAGCTAGGCAGGAGGTATAGCAGGACGTTCTAGACAGAGAGAGCTCTGGGAAGAAGAATGGCAGAGTCTCAAGCCAGTGGCAAAAGAAACAAGATGGGGAAAATGGAGATGTGGTAACAAGTGCATGGAAGAAACCAGGTTAAAAATATGGGTTAATTTAAGTTATACGAGCTAGTTAGAAACAAGCCTACATTAAGGCCAAACTTTCATAATAAACCTCCATGTTTTTTTTTGGGGGGGGGAGCAGGTGGGACAGAGAAAGACTTATTACACTCAGAAGAGTTAGGGGTTGAAAGTTACTACCTGAGTGTATTGGGTTTAACCATACACTGTCTTTGTAAGCTCCGCAGACTCCAGTACTGCTCCAGGTGTTAGCCACACAGAAATTATTCTGTTTCTTCCTGCATCGTCTCTGCTTGGTAGCTAGTTGTTCAGTCATCTACTTAACCACCTCTCCCCCCCTGGAAGCCCTGACTAGGGAGGTCCCCTGCCCCCCTCCCCCTGGAAGCCCTGACTAGGAAGGTCCCCTGCCCCCCCCCCCCCCGGAAGCCCTGACTAGGGAGGTCCCCTGCCCCCTCTCCCCCTGGAAGCCCTGACTAGGAAGGTCCCCTGCCCTCCCCCCCCCCCTGGAAGCCCTGACTAGGAAGGTCCCCTCCCCCCTCTCCCCTGGAAGCCCTGACTAAGAAGGTCCCCTGCCCCCTCTCCCTCTGGAAGCCCTGACTAGGAAGGTTCCCTGCCCCCTTTCCCCCTGGAAGCCTTGACTAGGGAGGTCCCCTGCCCCCTCTCCCCCTGGAAGCCCTGACTAGGAAGGTTCCCTGCCCCCTCTCCCCCTGGAAGCCCTGACTAGGGAGGTCCCCTGCCCCCCCTCCCCCTGGAAGCCCTGACTAGGAAGGTCCCCTGCCCCCTCTCCCCTGGAAGCCCTGACTAGGAAGGACCCCTGCCCCCTTTCCCTCTGGAATCCCTAACTAGGAAGGTCCCCTGTCCTCTTTCCCCCTGGAATCCCTAACTAGGAAGGTCCCCTGCCCCCTCTCCCCCTGGAAGCCCTGACTAGGAAGGTCCCCTGCCCCCTCTCCCCTGGAAGCTCTGACTAAGAAGATCCTCTGCCCTCTCTCCCTCTGAAACGCTGCTCTGTTACTGCTATATACAAAACGCCATGAAACTTTTCTACTGTATTCCCACAATCCAGTCTTCTAGTGCTAAAAATATTTATCTGAAGCAGTAGTGAAGTAAAAGAGTACTTCCAAGGAGATGGTAAAGATCATTTGTGTCCAGTTTAACAGAGACGTCCACGTGGAAGAGGGCTCCAGACCTTAGCACAACCGACTCCATGATGGAAGCACCATTCAAGCTGTAATACTCAGCATGTAGACAGCACCACCTCCCAAAACTAAAACAAAGGCCCACTCCATCGAAGTCTTATAGTTCTGGGGACATCTCTAAGTGTGTTAACCTTACCTTTGGCTTCTGTAGTTCTGTTTCTGGGTAACTGTTCTTGTTAACTGAAGTATGTCAACCCAGAAAATGGTTTTGTGCCTAAAAGCTGACCCTGAGAAAGACTCGGGGCTACACTGGGATCTAGAACGCCTAGTGTAGTTGCCAGCTGGCTAATACTTTCTGTTGGCTTAAATCCAAGTCCGAGCAGTCTTCTCTGGTGTATACCCCCAAATAAACTAAGACAAAAACTGAACAGTTTATCTAAGATTGGTGATTTCAGGGGAAAAAAAAAACCAGTTTGCATATAAGGCAAATTAGAAGCCAGATTGAGTGGAATGAAGGGCTAGAGATAGAACAGCCGGGAGCTCTTTTAAACAACTCGGGGAGAAGGGAGGAGGCAGACACACAGTAAGCATCCTGCTGCATTAGGTGTTGTTATTGCTTCTGACTGCGGAGATGAGTTTTTTAAAAATGCAAATCCATTGACTCTATTTTACTTAAATTCTTTCAATGACACTTCTTTGTGTTCAAGATTTAGTTCAAATATTTTTCCCCCTAGGTGTTTGTAAGATACAAGAGTCTTGTTTCTATTTTGTAAGTCTAACCCCATGTCCTGCCATACTCCCGCATCCAGTTCCTCCATTCGACTGCAGCTCTTTTAGCCCTTATCTGGGATAGTGCCGTTAACAGTTTTTCTGCTTAGTTCCCTGTGTCCATCCCTTCTCCATCCCACACCCCTACATTACGAGAATATTCGCCCAGAGGCCTGTGCACCTCTCCCTCATTGCATTAATCACGGCAGATCAAAGTTATTCTCTATATGTTTGCACCGCCGTGGGAATTAAAACTTGCCATGGCCAAACAAACATGAACATTTTTCCCCACCGTGTCCCCAGTGCTCGCTAGAGTTTGGCATACCGCCACTGCCTAACAGCCCGAGGTGATCCATCAGAGCATGGGCTGCGGAATAGAAGGCAGTTAACAAGGCTGACCAGCGACTATGGTAAACTGAAGAAGAACTCACCCGCGATCACGAATTTGGCCATGATCTCTAGCAAGACCTAGAGTCTGGGACCACGGCGTCTCGGTTGCCTGGCAACCGCGCCTCCGCTTTAAAAATGGCGCAGGCGCTCTCAGAAGCTGCCGCTCTGCCAGTGGCAAGTTCAAAGTTACTTCTTGAACGTGTTAAGTTTATAGAAACAACCATACATGCTCTTTATAAGCGCCGTGGACTCTTACGGAGACTCTTGTGTGGTCTATGGTCTATCTTTTCATCCGAGAAACCATTCTTCTGGCAGCCCCCCCCCGCAACACGTGGCTATCCACGGCCGCCGCGAACTTAGGCTTTTTGACCTATACAGGCATCCGTAGACCGTCCCGGCCGGCTTTGAGCGGGACTGTCATGGCTGCGCCCGTGTGCAGCCACAGGGTACCGTTCTATGGTGAGTGAGTAGTGAGCATAAGCAAGATCGTGGGCGGTGTCATGGTAGTCTTTTTATTGGGTAGAGAAAAGTTTGAGAAGTGTCTTCGATCTTAAATTTAGGCTGGTGTGTTGATGCTGGGTGGCCCAGTTGAGGAAGGACGCTGACTCCGGTTTCGGGATCTTGATGAGGCTTACTGATTTAAGCACGGAGAACATCGTTTATATTTTGTTTTCTTGTTTTGTTTTGTTTGTTTGTTTGTTTGTTTGTTTTAGAGTCAGGGTTTCTCTGTGTAGAAACCCGGCTGTCCTGGAACTCCCTCTGTAAATCAGTCTGGCCTCCAACGCACAGGGAACCTGCCTCTGCCTCCCAAGTGCTGGAATTAAAGGGGGAGCCATCTGCGCTCTGCCGTTTTCATTTCCGTTCTGTCCAAGTACATTTTCTTTCTTTTTAAATTAATTTTTAGCCGGGCGATGGTGGCGCACGCCTTTAATCCCAGCACTCGGGGGGCAGAGGCAGGCGGATCTCTGTGAGTTCGAGACCAGCCTGGTCTACAGAGCTAGTTCCAGCACAGGCTCCAAAGCCACAGAGAAACCCTGTCTCGAAAAACCAAAAAAAAAAAAAAGAAAAAAATAATTTTTAAAGAATGATCTTTTCTCATTTTACAAACCTATCCCAGTTCCCACTCCCTCCCCATCCCCTATCCACCTCTCAGAGAAGGTAAGGCTTCCCGTGGGGAGTAAACCAAGTCTGACGTGTCTGTCACTTTAAGACAGGACCAGCCCCCCCCCCCGTTTAGGCTGAGCAAAATGTCCCTCCAAAAGGAATGGGCTCCAAAAAGTTATTTCAAACACTAGGGATAAATCCTGGACCCACTGCCAGTATCCACACATCTGTCACCCACATTCAGAAGGCCTAGTTCGGTCCTATGCAGGTTCCTCTTGCTGTCAGCCACTAGCTCAGGTCAGTTGTTTCTGTGGGTTTCCCCCATCACGGTCTTGACCCCTTTGCTCATATTATTGTTCTTCCCTTTCTTGGACTGGTCTCTGGAAGCTCTACCCAGATCTTAGCTGTGGATCTCTGCATCTGTTCCTATCAGTTGCCTGCTGAAGGTTCTGTGATGACAATTAAGGTAGTCGTCAATCTGATTGCAGGGCAAGGCCAGTTCAGACATCTTCTCCACTATTGCTTAGGGTCTTACCTGGTGTCATCCTTGTGGATTCCTGGGGGAATTTCCCTGGTGCCAGGTTTCTTGCTAGCTCCATAATGGCTCCCACAATCAAGATATCTCTTTCCTTGCTTTCCCCTATCTCGATCATTCCATTCCCTCATGTTCTCCTCCCTCCCCTCCTACCTCTCTTCTCCCCTACCCAAGCTTCCAATTTTCTCAAGAGTTCTTGTCTATTTCCCCTTCCCTCAGGGATCCATGTATGTTTCTCTTAGGGTTCTCCTTGTTCCCCAGCTTCTCCGAGGTCATGGACTGTATATAGGCTGGTTATCCTTTGCTTTGCATTGAATATCCACTTACGAGTGAGTACAAACCGTGCTTGTCTTTCTGGGTCTCGGTTACCTCACTCAGGATGGTTTTTTATCTAGTTTCATCCATTTGCATGCAAATTTCAAGACACCATTTTTTTTTTTTACTCCACTGTGTGAATGTACCACATTTTTTCTATCCATCTTTCAGTTGAGGGGCATCTAAGTTGTTTCCCGATTCTGGCTACTATGAATAATGCTTCTATGAACATAGTTGAGCACATGTCCTTGTGGTATGGGTCTGCATCCTTTGGGTATATATCCAAGAGTTGTATTGCTGGATTTTGATATAGATTGATTTCCAATTTTTCTGGGAAATTGATATATTGATTTCCAAAATGACTGTACAAGTTTGCACTCCCACCAGCAATGGAGGAGTGTCCCCTTACCCCACTTCCTCTCCAGCATAAGCAATCATTGGTAATTTTGATCTTAGCCATGCTGACTGGGGTAAGATGATATCTCTGAGGATACTGAGCAATTCCGTAAGTGTCTTTCAGTCATTTGAGACCGGTTGAGAATTCTCTGTTTAGATCTGTTACCCCATTTTTAAAAATTGGATTATTTGGTGTTTTAACGTCTAGTTTCTTGAGTTCTTTATATATTTTGGGGAACAGTCCTCTGTTCGATGTGGGGTTGGTGAAGATCTTTTCCTATTCTGTAGGCTGCTGTTTTGTCTTATTGACTGTGTCCTTTGCCTGTCAGAAGTTACAGTCCATGACTCCAGAGAAACTGGGGAACAAGACAGACATACGTGGATCCATGGGGAGAGGGGAAATAGATAAGATTTCCTGAGAAAATAGAGACCATATTGTAGGGGGGCGAGGAGAGGGAGGAACAGAACATGAGGGAATAGGATAGTCGAGATGGGGGAAGGACAGAAAGGGACAGCAAGGAAAGAGATATATTGATTATGTGAGCCATTCTCAGTGCCAGGAGGTCCCATTTATTAATTGTTGCTCTCAATGTCTCTGCTACTGGTATTATATTTAGGAAGTGGTCTCCTGTGCCCATGCATTCAAAAATACGTCCCACTTTCTTTTCTGTGACATTCATTGTGGTTGAATTTGTGTTGAGGTCTTTGATCCATTTGGACTCGAGTTTTGTGCATGGGGATAGATATGGATTTATTTACATTCTTCTACATGTTGGCATCTAGTTATGCCAGCACCATTTGTTGAAGATGCTTTCTTTTTTTTTCCATTGCATGATTTTAGCTTCTTTGCAAAAAATCAGGTGTTCATAGGTGTGTGGATTAATATCAGTGTCTTTGATTTGATTACATTGGTTTACCTGTCTTTTTATGCCAATACCGTTTTTAATTACTATATCTCTGTAGTAGAGTTTGAAGTCAGGGACTGTGATGCTTCCAGAAGTTCCTTTCTTGTACAGGATTGTTTTGACTATCCTGAGTTTTTTGTTTTTCCATATGAAGTTGAGTATTGTTCTTTTGAGGTCTGTGAAGAATTGTGTTGGGATTTTGATGGGGATTGCATTGAATCTATTGATTGCTTTTGGTAAGATTGCCATTTTTATTATATTGATCCTACCTATACAAGAGCATGGGAAATCTTTCCATTTTCTGGTATATTCATCGATTTCATTCTTCAAAGACTTAAAGTTCTTTTTGTGCAGGTCTTTTACTTCTTTGCTTAGTGTTACCCCAAGATACTTTCTGTTATTTGTGGCTATTGTAAAGTGCGATATTTCTTTGATTTCTTACTCAGCCCTTTTATCATTTATATATAGGAGGGCTACTGCTTTTTTTTTTTTTTTTTGAGTTGATCTTGTATTCTACCGCATTGCTGAAGGTGTTTATCAGCTATAGGAATTCCCTGGTAGAATTTTTGGGATCACTTATACATACTATTATATTATCTGCAAATAGCGAAAGTTTGACTTCTGGTAGAAATCTGCCCATCTGGCTCTGGGATTTTTTTTTTTTTTTTTTTGGTTGGAGACTTTGATGACTTCTATTTTCTTAGGGGTTATAGGGTCTATTTAAATTGTTTGTCTGGTCTTGATTTAATTTGTCCATTTCTTTTAGATTCCCCAATTTTGTGGACTATAGGTTTTTGAAGTAAGACCTAATGATTCTTTGAATTTCCTCAGTGTCTGTTGTTATGCCCCCCCCCCCCCCCCGCTTTCATTTCTGATTTTGTTAATTTGGATATTCTTTCTCTGCCTTTTGGTTAGTTTGGGTTAGGATTTGTCTATCTTGTTGATTTTCTTGAAGAACCAGTTCTTTGTTTCATTGATTTTTTTTTGTACTGTTCTCTTTGTTTCTATTTTATTGATTTCAGCCTTCAATTTGATTATTTCCTGTCTTCTACTCCTCCTGGGTCAGTCTGCTTTTTTTTGTTCTAGAGCTTTCAGGTGTTCTGTTGAGTCACTAGTGTGAGATTTCTCCACTTTCTTTATGTAGGTACTTAGTGCTATGAACTTTCCTCTTAGCACTGCTTTCATAGTGTTCCATAGGTTTTTTGGGCTGTGTGCCCTCATTTTTGTTAAATTCTATGAAGTCTTTAATTTCTTTATTTCTTCCTTGACCCAGGGGTGATTCAGTTGAGCATTGTTCAATATCCATGAATTCATAAACTTTCTGTAATTAGTATTGTTGTTGAATTCCATCTTTAAGCCATGGTGATCTGATAAGATACAGGGGGTTACTCCGTTTTTTGTATCTGTTGAGGTTTTTGTATCTTTGTTACCGTGTATGGACCAATTTTAGAGAAGGTTCCATGAGGTGCTGCTGAGAAGAAGGTATATTCTTCTGTGTTTGGGTGAAGTATTCTATAGATGTCTGTTAAGTTCATTTGAGTAATGACATCTGTTAATTCTCTTCTTCCTCTACAGACCTGTCCAGTGGCGAGAGTGGGGTATTGAAGTCTCCTGCTATTAGTGTGTGCGGTTTGATGTGCGATTTAAGCTTTAGTAATGTTTCTTTTATATATGTGGGTGCTCTTGTATTTAGGGTATAGATGTTCAGAATTGAGACATCATCTTGGTGGATTTTTCCTGTAATGAGTCTAGAGAGCTGGGCTCTCCACACTTGAACACAGACTCTTACCTCTCCAGGAGCAGTCAGGGCCAAGGCTCCGGTCGTCAGACCTAAGTACGTTTTCTTAATGTTTTGGTTTAGGCAATTGCTAGATCATTCTGTTGAAAGTGTCCATCAATGATACTATTTTCAGTGGAGGCCTCCAAAGTAGCATTAACAAAATTACTCTTAGCAGAAGACTTATTGAATACCTACATAAATAATATTAATAATAATAATAGTAAATTATTATTATTATTAACCAAGAAGCTATTTTATACCACTGCTAAAATGACTGACCTGGGTACTTTACAATGATGTGCACTTTGGAATATAAGTAGGAGAGACATACTGGGGATATAGTTTTGCCTTTTTAATATGAAGCTCTAGTGGCTCATAGATATCCATGCAGGCTCCTGTTAGATGCAAAAATTTTAACTGTTATTTCTTTTATTTGCCTATCCCCTGCAGGATAGTCTACAGCATATGCTCTGTTTTAGAAAGAAGTCAAGTTTTGCTGCATTGTGAGTATTTGGAAGTGTGCCCGTGGGGAGCAAAATGAGTAACAAAGCACACTCCTTGCTCTGGAACGTCGGACAGTTGCGTGCTGTGCTTCCAAGAAGCAGAGTTTTGAGGATAGATCCTCTGGGATTTTGCAGACCAGAAGTTGTTTATTCAAAATGGAACCCAAGAAACCGCCTGTTAAATGGTTTTGAGGATGGACTGTGGCCAGCTGTTAGATGCTTCTTTCAGGGTATTTTGAAATCAGTAGATGATTGTACTCAAACTAAAGGCGTAAGACACGCAGTTGTCTTTAAATTTGGCAGAGTGCTTTGTCCTAGAAGACTATCCTCTGACTCAGAACATTCTCTTGTCTCTGATGGGGCATCTGATCATGATTTAATGAAAATAAACTTCCATCATAGCTCCAGTGAAGACGTGCTCACCAAGAAGATGAGACCAACCCCCATGAGTCATAAAAAGCTGGCCCAGGAGTGTAACTCCTTGAGTGACGTGCTCGACACTTTCTCAAGAGCGCCCACATTTCCTAGCAGTAGCTATTTCTTAGCAATGTGGACAATTGTCAGAAGGGTGTCTGGAGACAAGAGGCGCTTTGAGATACAGCTGATGTTCGGTCACCCCGCCTTTCATCAGCTGTGTGCGCAAATGATGAGAGAAGCCAAGATTATGCACTATGACCACCTTCTCTTCAGTCTGAATGCTATCATGAAGCTGGGCATCCCCCAGAATGCTCTTATGGTTCAGACGTTGCTGAGGACGATTCAGGTAAGTCAAATGGAGACTTAAATGTGGCTTTACTGTGTTTAACATATTTTGAACGAGTCAGGGGAAGGAGATGTGTATAGCTTCCTTAAAGGAGACTATCAGGGGCTGAGGAGGTGGCTCAACCTTTAAAGGCTAGGCTCACAACCAAAAATATAAGAAGAGACTATCAGTGGAATATATGTTTTTAATGTGCATTTCTGTATTGTATAGTATATGTCTAGGAGACCTTAAGTTAGATAATTTTTTGCTTTGGAAATTTGTGGAAGCCCGCTCCACTTACCTTCTCTAGGGCTAAGTAGGAACAAAGAAGCTAAAATGAAGAGAAAGGCAAGCCATACAAAGAAAGGTTGGTAGTTGAAGGAAAGAGGGGTAGGGAAGGAGGTGAGCTGGCAGTTTCCTCGCATGGTGTCCTAATCCTCTCACCAGCACTGAAGACAAGGAAACAGATTTAATGATACCAAACTGCTTGCTTAGCAGCTCGTGGATTCCTTGATTCACGTAGCAAATGCATATTGGGTGTCAGTCATGTACAAGGTGCCACAGTTTCATGCCCACTGGAGCTTGTATTTGCGGGTAGGCTTAGGAGTTCATTGGAGAATTTCAGGCAAGGGATTGGCCTGCTCAAGTTTGCACATTATGTCATTTATATGGCACCAGACGTGAAGAAGGAATCATTTATTTTTAAAGAATGGCAATGTCAGACGTCTAAACTCAATAATTAAGGAAATATCCTAAATTGCATTACTTGCCTGGAGATAATGTATCACATACTCTTGTTTCACTGGAATTCATGAGTTGAGTTTATAGGTAGATGAGTTTTTACTTTTTATGTAAACTTCATATGTTCTCAAGCAAGAACTATTAAATTTTATATTTTGCTTGTTAAGCCCTGTATTTGTTTCATGTCCAGTCACTTGCAATGATTGGTGTAACTCAGTTCCCACTACAGTGATGCAGCTATGAAGTAGACCTTGCACAGGCATTCCCAACCAGGAACATAGTCAGCAAATCTGCATGTGGCTGTTCCTCCATAATATGTGGGTGTCATAAAGACGCTTAGCCAGAGGTAAGAGGGCAGTGTGCCGTCAGTGCATCTGAGCCAAGTAGTCTGACCATTCACAGCAGTCAGCACTGTTCTCTGCCCAGATCTCCCCTGGCATTTCTGGACTAAACTAGCACCTGACTGAGACCCAGAGAGTGGTGGTCAAATGCAGTGGGCCACATGAGTAAGAAGATTCACAGGCATGGTGCTCAGGGAAGGAAGGCTATGTGGAAGTTGTAAGGACAGCCCTCTAAGGCTCATTGAGGGGAGCAATTTGCCTATGTACTTTAGTAGATCTTCTGTTATTCTATAGTATTCTACTGTGTTACTATATCATAACTTGTGTTATTCTTACTTTTAGGGGAGCAATTGGCCTATCTACTTTAGTAGATCTTCTGTTATTCTACTCGGATGTCCCCATGGTGGTTTGGGGTCCCATGAAGGGGTAAAAATGGTGTTTAATGCAGTTATTTCACAAGCAAAGGAATAAAATCAATATCAAATAGATTTCCAATGATGCATAGGAAAGTGTTGATGTTTAAAAGGTTACGTGTCAATTACCTGGAAAGCCACTGAATTGTCATAGCTTACTTCCTGGGTATCTGTGTATGATGGACTCTGTGACTTGCTGGTCTGGTACTTAGTCCTGTGAAAGTGTGGGTTCAGAGGTTTTGCTTGAGAAAGCTAGTGCACATCTCATGGCCTTTGCTGTTTGCAATTGTGTTTTACCAGGAGCGCATCAATGAGTGTGATGAGAGATGTCTTTCAATTTTGTCAACTGCTTTAAAGACTTTGGAGCCATGCATGAATGTGAATGCGCTTCGAGCAGGGTTGCGGTAAGAACCTCCTAGGTTTCTTCATGTGGTTTTCTCTATGGCCCTGATATGGGCAATTTAGAAGCCCAACGAAAATTGATTCCTTTTTTGGGAGACACTAATAAAGTAGGCATTGGTAACTGTTAATATTTTATTAAGCTTAAAATTCCAACTCTGAATGATATAAGCCTGAAGATAGTAATTTTTAAAGGATCTCTTTCTAAAAATTTGTAGGTAACATTGAAATTAGTTTTTCTTAGACTCTAGTACAGATGTAAAGTCGGGGGGAGAACTGACATGTATACTAAATTCAGAATGGTTACTAGGACACTGTAGGGATCACACTGTATCTTATGAAGATATAAAATTGATCCAAGTGATCTGATGTCGCAGACTAGGGAAGGTTATGAGGATACCTTTAATCTGATGTGACTTGTTCATTAATAAAGGCAGTACAGTAATGTAAGAGGAAGTATCCTAGAATGATTTAGGTTCTTCTCTAACCGCTTATACCCTCTTGGGCAGGTAGACCACGTCTGTAGATTTCTTATTCCTGGTCTATTCCAAGTAGGGGCTGGATTCTAGGATCATCCTATTTCTTGTGTCTAATGACAGAATCCTAGTTGATCAGCAAGTTTGGAAGATAGAACACATCTTCACATTACAAACAGTGATGAAATATATCGGGAAAGACACACCATTTGCTCTTAAGAAGAAACTGGAGGTAAACACCTGGCTTTTCTCAAGTGGATAAAGTTTGAAGAAACTGTCCTTTGACCTGTCACTCCCTAAAGTCGGTTTTGAAGGAGGATGTGGCTGTACTTTTACTGAAATGACTTAAGACATCTATCTGTGTGTGCAAACATATCTGTGTATATATATTTACTTCTGTATTTGTGTACACCTTTCTTAAGCCTCATGCTTGTTTCTTCAGCATTAAGTTTTCCACAGATGATAATTAAATGCAAGTTTGTTTTCTGTAGATGAAAGCCTTGAAGGAGTTGGACAGATTTTCTGTCTTGAATAGCCAACACATGTTTGAAGTACTGGCTGCGATGGATCACCGCTCTGTTGTCCTTCTGAATGAATGCAGTAAGGTGGTCATAGGTAAGAGGGCTTTTTCTATATTATCTGCCGTATCTGACGGTTCACTTGTTTTGAAATCTTGGCTCTTATGATGCAGAACTGATGACTAGTTACATATAAATTTTATTTTTGGCCGTTGTTTTGTTTTCCTTCAAATTAGTGATGTTTTTTTTCCCAAAGAAGGTATGAATATCTTGAATCTTATGCTCAAAGCCATCTGGTAATGCTTGCGTATTTAACTCATTCTTAAAGATAATATCCACGGGTGTCCTTTTAAAGTCTTGATTGGCATACTGCAGTCCTGTAGAGACCTGCGATACCAAAATGAAGATCTCTTCAAGAGCATAGCTGACTATGTGGCTACAACTTTTGAAATCTGGAAGCTGAAACAGGTGAGTTTCTGTCGGGGATATACCAGGGAAAGTTTCAGGAAGCTTGTTCATTCCCTTGTTTCTGCTTAGAGAGGTCATTATGTCAGAATATGTCAGAATATTCCAGTGCTAAATTAGCTCAGCGCCATCTCCTTCTACAGGCTAAACATTGATAGAGTAGACCCTCCGTGGTCAGTTTTCTGTGGGAAAGCAAAGCTACATTGTCCAAAGTTCTTCTGCTTGGTTATCAAAGGGTTTTATGATAGGTGAACTAACTAGTGAGCCTTGTGGATCCTATTTTCTTCTTAGCTTTGAATAATAAAAATGGCTCTAACTAATGATGTATGACAGGCTCATGGTTTTGAAGAATGAAATGTTACTACTTTATGATCTTACCTATTTTCTTTGGAGTCCCAGACTTTCAGGATCCATGTTTAACAATCCAAATGTCTAAATGTAACAGCGTGTGAACCTTACTTTTTCTAGTGAAGTAGGTGGAGGCCGATCAGTGGATTCAGTTGGTTAAGAGAGTAAGATGAATTTTGAATTTATTATTAAAATTGAGTTCAAAGGCAGTAATTCTTGTGGTAAATATTACCCAGCAGGAAATTGGAAGTGAAATATATCTTAATCATGATATTTCACTTCCATATATTAATATAAAATAGACATATTTGAGTTACAACAACAAATTTTGTTTGAAAATGCCATAAAGAAATGGAATACTATGCATACTAATTAAAAAAAGTTAAAAAGACAAGGAAAGATGGGAAAATATTTGTGCCTTATTAGTGTTAAGGCTCGGATAATCCAAATGGACTTGGTGGCACACAGCTAGGATCCCATGTTGGCAGAGACTGCTCATTCATTTTCGACTGCCCAGACCCAAATAGTCACACAGAAACTATATTAATTACAACACTGTTCGGCCAATGACTCAGGCATATTTCTAGCTAGCTCTTACATTTGAATTAACCCATTTCTATTAATCTATGTATTGCCACGAGGCTGTGGCTTACCCGAAAGGTTCCAGGTCCTTCTCCTTCGGCAGCTACATGGTGTTTCTCTGACTCTGCCTGCTCTCTCTCTATATCTCTTCCAGCCTGACTATATTTTGCCCTGCTATAGACTGAGGCAGCTTTTTTATTAACCAATGGTAATAAAACATGTTCATAGCATACAGAGGGAAATTCCCCATCAATCCACCTAGCCTCTCAGAAGGCTGAGACTGGAGGATCACAAGCTCACACCAGCCTATGGGTAAAATAAAAGGAAAAAAATGTTTGAGTTGCCATATATATGAGAATCTAGGCAGAGTTTAGAAGTGGGAGCAGCTCAAGCACAATATAAAGTAATTTTTAGATCTGTCGTATGAAAAATGGGTAAGAAAGGATTTGTTGTTGTTGTTTGTGACAGGGTTTCTTCGTGAAGCCTTGGCTGTCTTGAAGCTCATTCTATAAACCAGGCTGGCCTCAAATTTAGAGGTCTGCCTGCCTCTGATTCCCAAGTGCTGGGATTAAAGGTGTGTGCTACTGCCTCCTGCTAAGAAAGATTTAAATGAGGTATGGAGATTATTCTTGGCTCTTGGTTATTAGTCTTGGTTCTCAGCTTAGAAGAGATTGCTCATTAAGTTGATATCTGATTAAAGACAAAACACATGATTATCCTTTTGGGGTAGTATTTTGTTGCTTAAGTTCTTTGAGATTTAAAACCACTATAGTAGCTGTTGAGTAACTTCCTCTCCTTTCTGTTTTTAAGGTCATCTTTTTTCTCCTGTTATTTGAAGACCTTGGTTTTCGACATCCTGATTTGATGGATAAGCTTATGGAGAGGGTAGTGGAGGAGCCTGATGCTCTAAACATGAGAAACATTGTTTCTATCCTTCACGTGTATTCCTCTCTCAATCACATCTGCAAAGGCCAAAACAGAGAGTACGTACCAATTTCCTTTACGTTGTCACAGGTGTGCTTACAGAAAGGATTGCAGATCTCAGGCTTCCCACACTAGTAAGCATGACCGTGTTCCCAGCCACCATGTCTGGAAATACAGCAGCATTTATTTTTAGAGTTGAATAGAATAGTCTTACCTTTGTGGTTCTTTGTTTGCTTGTTCCTTTGTTCTTTAGGTGCAGTTGTTCATTATAGAAGTTTTCATTTTGAGCTTGTCTCCTTTACTATTAATTCCTAAATTATTTGTCCTTTTGAACTTCATCAAAAAGTCAAGAAATGTCTCTTTAAAATTCATTGTTGCAGTAAGTGTTTTGGGCAAGAGCGGTGGTTTACTAGCGACTTTCAAGTGGACAGTCCAGTGCTGCTGACTCCAGGCGTAGCACATCTGCCTGGAGCTGCATCCTCCTCCATATTTGAAAAATTCCTGATGAACAGCTTTTCCTCTCTTTCCCCTCTTTCCTTCCTCACATTTTTCTACTGTTTCTCAATTTGGAATATGTGCTATGTGTCCATCTAGACAAGCTTATATTCATTAAACACGGTGTACTCCAAGTTCATCTGTATCGTCATATGGAAGGATTTTTCTTCCTTTAAAGGTTAAATAATATTCCAATTGTATATTAATAGCATGTTATATTTATTCATCTATTGATGGACGTTTAGGTTTTTGGCATAAGTTAACTTTTGTGTTGCACATAAGAGTATACATATCCTGTTGAGATTCTTATTTCAATTATTGTAAGTCAAAATGTACTTGGGAAACTTGCTGTAATTGCCATGCCTATAAATCCAGCACTTAGACAGTTGGGGCAGGAGGATACCTGTGAGCCAGAGGCAAACCTACACTACAGACTGCAACTCTTGCTTCAAAAACCTAAAGCTAAAAACGAGAGAGAGAGAGAGAGAGAGAGAGAGAGAGGGAGAGAGAGGGAGAGAGAGAGAGATCCCTGTATGTGAGATCAAGATATGGTAGCCCTCTTATTTTTCGTATTTGGGTTTTATTTTTTTGAGGAATCCTCACTGATTTATTTAATTTTCCTCCCAGTAGTGTATGAAGCATGGAAGGGCTATAACTATAATAGTGTGCACTACTTAGTATGGAAGGGCTGTTCCCCCACGGTGAGCACAGTGTGGTGTGCCAGGATGTTCCCCCACGGTGAGCACAGTGTGGTGTGCCAGGGTGTTCCCCCACGGTGAGCACAGTGTGGTGTGCCAGGGCTGTTTCCCCATGGTGAGCACAGTGTGGTGTGCCAGGGTGTTCCCCCACGGTGAGCACAGTGTGGTGTGCCAGGGCTGTTCCCCCACGGTGAGCACAGTGTGGTGTGCCAGGGCTGCTCCCCCACGGTGAGCACAGTGTGGTGTGCCAGGGCTGTTCCCCCACGGTGAGCACAGTGTGGTGTGCCAGGGCTGTTCCCCCACGGTGAGCACAGTGTGGTGTGCCAGGGCTGCTCCCCCAATGGTGATGAGCACAGTGTGGTGTGCCAGGGCTGCTCCCCCAATGGTGATGAGCACAGTGTGGTGTGCCAGGGCTGTTCCTCCAATGGTGAGCACAGTGTGGTGTGCCAGGGCTGTTCCCCCACGGTGAGCACAGTGTGGTGTGCCAGGGCTGCTCCCCCAATGGTGAGCACAGTGTGGTGTGCCAGGGCTGCTCCCCCAATGGTGAGCACAGTGTGGTGTGCCAGGGCTGCTCCCCCAATGGTGAGCACAGTGTGGTGTGCCAGGGCTGCTCCCCCAATGGTGAGCACAGTGTGGTGTGTCAGGGCTGCTCCCCCAATGGTGAGCACAGTGTGGTGTGCCAGGGCTGCTCCCCCAATGGTGAGCACAGTGTGGTGTGTCAGGGCTGTTCCTCCACGGTGAGCACAGTGTGTTGTGCCAGGGCTGCTCCCCCAATGGTGAGCATAGTGTGGTATGCCAGGGCTGTTCCCCTGACGGTGTGCACACTGTGGTGTGCCAGGGCTGCTCCCCCACGGTGAGCACAGTGTGGTGTGCCAGGGCTGCTCCCCTGACAGTGTGCAGTGTGTGGTGTGGGGTGGCTCTGGGTCTCCATGTCTTCTCATCTTGGCTTTTAGCCATCCTAGCAGGTACAAGGGCACATCTCTTCATGAAACCCAAACAGGTTTGCATTACCTGTTACTTGTGTTGAACATCCTCATGATAGCTGTGCACTGCATGTCTATTCTGGTGATTCTTCTGTCATTCCCTTTGTCCATTTTCTGATCATGACAGCATCTGATAATGCTGTTAAATTGTAGGCATCGCGTCTATGTTTTGGATGATAATCCCCCGTTGGGTGTGCAGTTTGCAAATATTTTCCACCCTTCTTTGATTCTGTCAGCTACTTCATTTCCTTAGCAGAAGAATTTTAGTTTGCTGTTGTCCCCTTGACTATTGGTTTTTGTTGACTGTATGTTTCATATCATAGTCTAAAAATGATTGTTCTACACAATGTCATAAAATAAAACTTTCCCATATGTTTTCCTTGTAGGAGCTCAGTTCTCATGCTTACTCAGTTTTAAGTAGATTTTTATGTAAAGTGTAAGACAGAGATTTAGTTTTATTGTTTTTATGTACATACCCAGTTTTCCCGGTGCTGTTGTAGACGTTGCCCATTCTCCATGGTGTGTTCTTGGTGCCTTGCTTGTTTTTCTGCAGAACTGCTTGGTCTTCAGTTACCACAGCTTTGTGATCTGTTCTTTTTCTTCCTGGATTGCTAAGGGATTCAGGCAACTTGGTTCCCATATGAATGAATTTCAGGCTTTTGTTTGTTTGTGTTTGTGTAAAAACCTGCTATTGTTAGTTTGGCAGAGATGGCCTTGGGTCACTGAGCCACTGCACACAACACAGACACTTCAACAGTGGCTTCCAGTCATTGGGTGAGTGCTGTCTTGCCATGTTTTATTTGTACCATCTTTAACCAGTGTTTTATAGTTTGCAGTGTGTGAGTCTCTCACTCCTTGGTTGGGTTGTTCCCGGAGAGCCCATAGTGTAGAGAAATGAAGCAGAAGCTACTTCTCTATTTACATCTTATTCATTTCCTTTCCCTTTTCCTGCTTCAATATTTATGGACCTAGTTGTATTTTTATTTATTTATTTCACCTTAAGCTAGAATTTCTAGTGCTGTATTAAATAGAATGGGCAAGAGGAGGTATTCACCGTCTGATATGCTGCTGGTTATATGGGCTTTTCACATATGACTTTATTATATGCCAGGTATATTGGGAACTTTTATCACAAAAGGGTATTGAATTTCTCAAATTTATTTCTTCAGCTTAAAGTAATAGTGTGATTTTTCTTTTAACCCTTCCGTTTATGTGACGTATAGCATTAATTGATTGCATACACTGAGCTACCTGGGTGTTACTCGTTTGTGGTTTATCTATGATCCATTTTCATGATACTGAATTTGGTTTCCTACTGTTTTGTTCCATATAGCATAGTGTGAAGATGATGTTGGTCTTGTGAGTTTGGAAGAAATGTTCTCTCTTCTGTAGATGTTTGGATGAATTCAAGAGAGTTGTGTTAACTTATTATTCTCCTTCTCAACATTTGGTAGAATTTACCAGTGGATTCACCAGTGAGCGCTCTGGTTCTGGACATTTTCATTGTCCAGAGGTTTTTTTCTTTTTCAGTTATGTTTGCGAATGCTTTGCGTACACTCTAAGCCACCGCTCCATATTTTTTTGTGAAGTTTTTGATAGCTGATTCAATCTCTGTATTCATTATTGGTCTATTTTGATTTTCTTTTACTTCATGCTTTAGTCTTTGTTGTTTATATATGAATTTATTTCTTCTTGGCTACCAATTTGTTAGCAAATGTTTTCCCTAATATCTTATTAATCTCCTTTTATTATTGTGTTGTGCTGGGGAGAGGCTGAACATGTACAGACTTTATTGTCATTTTCCTGTGAAAGATAGTATCACAGCTAATTATGTAGAATTGCATTATATTAGATATTATAAATAATTGAAAGATGATTTAGAGTATACAAGACCATGTGCAAAGATTACATGAATCTTTTTTTAACTTGAGCTCACTATGTAGCCTATACTGACCTCTAAGTTTTGATCCTCCTGCCTCCGCCTCCCAAATGTCAGGGGGTATAAGTGTGCCCTACCATGTCTGGTTCATGGTACTGGGGACTGGACCCGAGGCTTCGGGCATGTGAAGCATTTTACCAAGTAAGTGACATCGCCAGCTCCTTTTGTTATCTCTGTGGCGTCGGTGCTGTTGTCTGTCCAGATTACTGTCCTTCCCTGCTGGTTTAGTTGTGGGTTTGCCACTTTGGTTAATCATTCTCTCTGGTTCCCATTTGTTTCTGCTTAAATCTTCATGACTTTCTTCCTCTACTGACTCTGGGTTTGGTTTGTTCTTTTTCTAGTTTCTTTTAAAGATTTATTTACTTTTATTTATTTATTTTTTTTAAAGATGTATTTATTTATTTATATATTTGTTATGTATGCAACATTCTGCCTCGATGTATGCCCGCAGGCCAGAGGAGGGCGCCAGATCTCAGTACAGATGGTTGTGAGCCCCCATGTGGTTGCTGGGATTGAACTCAGGACCTTTGGAAGAGCAGCCAGTGCTCTCAACCTCTGAGCCATCTCTCCAGCCCCTATTTACTTTTATTTTATGTACATGGGAATTTTGTTTGTAAATATATGTGTATAATACATGTGTGCCCAGTGGCTCTGGAGCCAGAGAAAGAAGTCGGAACCTGGAACTGGAATCAGACAGTTTCTGACTAAAATTTTGTTTTTTCTAACATAAATATGGCCACTCCTGCTCTTTAATCCCCATTTGTTTGTGTGTCTTCTGTTCTTTCACTTTCAGACCCTGTCTTTAATCTAAAGTGAGCTCTTTGCACATAGTATATACTTAGATCTTGTTTATTTTTATTCTAGCTTTTAATTGTAGCATTTAATACATGTATCAGTTATGTTTCTCATTGCTGTGGCAAAAATGCACGGTAAAGATGTAAGAAAAGGTTTATTCTGGCTGCCAATTTAGAGTTTAGCTGATCATGGAGAGGAGGAGCGTGGTGGCAGGAGCATGGGGCTGGCCAGTGCATCCACACTCAGCAAGCAGAGATGACTTCTGCATGCAGTAACTTTCTCATCTTTATTTAGTCCAGGGTCCAAAGTTATAGGATGGTGCTTCCCAAATTGAGGATAGGTGTCTTCCCTTCTCAGTTTAGCTTTTCTGAAAATACCTCATAGACATCCTCAGAAGTCTGTGTCCACGCTGATTGTAATCCTGTGGAGATCAATGATTGCAGTACAGACATATTTAAAGCCTTTATTGGTAGAGATGGCTTTATTATTGGCATTTTGTTTCCTGCCTTAGAATTTTTTTCATTTTTTTCTGTTTCACTGTGTCTTTCTTTGTAATTTGATGTATCTATTTTCCTTTATGTATCTTTTGTAGGTATTTTTGTGGTTACTATAAGTCTTATGTAATTATGCTATTGTAGAAGTTAGTTTAGGCAGCCATGTAGAAAATCTAGACAATTTTATTCTTCCTCACTCTTTGTTATTGATTTTATAATTTATATCTTTTAAGATCATATATTTACTAACTGTTTAATAATTGTATTTGTAGTAATTTTTCTTTCAAATTTTGTACTAGATTTAAAAGTGGTTTACATACTCCTATGACTGCTGCATGAGCCTGGTTCAGTCAGCTCACAGTTTAATACCATTGCCTTGCTATTTTCAGGATCTAGTATGCTTGTCCCTTCCTGTGGAACTTCATTCTCTTAACCTTGCAGGTCTTACTGCTGCCCTGGCCCCTGAGATTGTCCAGTTGGTCTCAAAGTCTGGGCTGCACCCTCTTATCAGTCTGAGCTTCCTTCCAGACTCACTTGGCCTTGACGTCATCCCTGCTCCATGCCTTCATAATACTGTTTTACTGACAGACAGAGCCTGTGCTCTCAGAACTCCATTCAGATGATCTCCCCTTTCCTAGCGCATCCACCCTTCAGCTTCGCCCTGAAGCTCCTCTCTCCCTTCTACCCTGCCACAATCGTCTGTATATTTCATCTTTGTGTGTGTTATTCTAGGGATAACGTACGCCCTGAGAGTCTGTCTAACCTGGCTCCAGGGAAGTCCACCATTTATTAACAGTGTCACCTCCCCGAGTGTTTTCCTCCCACTCTGTCTGTGCTTAGCCCTGTTTATACCGCACAATAGCTGTGACTGCTAGGTTTAGGCTTATAATTCTTTACCAAGAATTTAATAGCTAAGAATTTTTAATTGCTTATAAAATGAGAGTGGTAGTTTGGGCCTTGTGGAGACTGTCTAAAGAGTAGAAGGATTTGGTGCCGGACCATTTAGGTTCTTAACGTGTCTCTGCCCAGGCTGCTCAGTCAGTGTCACTTTCCTGGATGAGTTACTCAACTCTGAGCCGATTCACTCATCCGTATTTATGAGAATAATAACACTGCTGCCCCATAGACCTTTAATAGGAATGAAATGATTGAAAGCCTATGAAAACATATTCAGGCAGTATATCCACAATAGTCATTTATTAGATATGTACACTTACCATGGGGTTACTATGTCCTGCACTGTATATGGATGCTTATTTACAGATCTGATTGGTTCATCTTATTTCTTTGCATTCACTAAAGAGCTGGGTTCTATGGCATGGAATCAGCTCTTCTGCTCCCTTGTCTTGTAAGTTTATTTGAAATCTGACTTCCCTTTGTTCCCCAAAAGGTTCCTAGAAGCCATGACCAGTGCTCTGACTGCCCATCTTCACCACATCTCTGCTGAAAACCTACTAAGTACCGTGTATTCGTTTTGCCTGATGAATTATTTCCCCCTGGCCCTCATTAACCAGCTTACTGAAAAGAAGATCATCAACGAATTGCTGACTTCAGGTAGTGTGTCACCTTGTCATTCAGAATGGGCTTTTAGAGCAGCTTTAGTTCAGATGTGCAGAGCAAATGTTGCTGAGTATGGCTAACAATGGTGAAGTCAAAGGCCTGTGTTTCAGACCACAAGCCCAGAGAGCCACATACGCTGGTGGGGGGGGGGGGAAGGTGCAGGGTCTGCCCAGCTGTTACCTTTTAGCCTGCGCCACATGCATAGCGTTCACTGTCTGCACATATTCAAAGTTCAGTGTTCTGCACCAGAGGTATACTTTTCTCAAGTATACCATTAAATAATCAACCCAAATCACCAAGAAAAGTCACTCCTGGTCTGGAATGTGATGCCTGCTACATCTAGTGACCAAATTAGTCGTTCTTGGATGTTTTTTGGTTTGTTTGTTTATTTTTTGTTTTTGTTTCTTTTCTTTTTTTTTTTTTTTTTTGAGACCAGGGTGGCCTGGAAATCACAGACATTGCCCTGCCTCTGCCTCTCTAGGGTAGAATTCCTAAGTGCTGGAATTAAAGATGTGTATTACAATGCCCTCTAGTTATTGACTTTAAGTGAAGAAGAATAATATTTGGGTAGATGTACAAAATTTAATAATGTGTCTTTTATTAGCTATAATTCATTTCATAAACAATACTATAAAATCCTGACATTGAATTGTGAAGAGTCAACCCTATATACTGATTTTATAAGAAATAGTTTATTGTTGGAGAATAGGCTTGGAGGCCTGTACTCTAGTCCAATTCCTAGACAGTTTCTCTCCTATAAAATGATTTTAGACCAAGTTACTTTTAAAGATAGCTTAAAGTTTGAAACATTGGTAGTACAGGCCACTGATCTAGACATCAAAAACCAGGGAATCATTGAGAGAATTCTGGAAACAAAGAAAAGACGTCAAGCTCTTCCTGCAGGGGAGTTGTACAGAAGAGTGAGCAGAAAGACTCCAGAGGGGATGGAGAACTCCAGTGAAACAGTGCCGTTCAGACCTAATAGGACTGACACACACATGAGCTCCCGAAGACTGTGGGAGCACAATAGGTCCAAACCAGGGGGGCCACCAGCACCGAGAGGGGACTCAGGACACAAGTCCCCATCCCAACCAAGAGGCTGTCTGCCATTGATGCTACTTGCAAATTAACAAATTAATTTTCTCCAGTGGAGTCTCAGTGGGCTACCACACTTAAGGGCACCCCGTGCCCAACAGTAGACGGCTGCTATAGAATGAACTCAGTGTATTTTTGTATTTTGTCTTACATTACCTTGTCTGGGCTTTTTTTTTTTTTGTTTTAATTTTTCTGATTTTTTTGCTTGTATATTGTGGTTTCTGATTTTATGCTTTTGTGTGTGTGTGTATTTCTTTTTTAAAATTCTGGTTTGTGGGTTTTTTTGTTTTGTTTTGTTTTTTCTTTTTGCTTGTTTACCTGTTTGTTTTCCAAAGAAAGAGAAAGGGTTTGGTATTGCATGGACGGGAGGGTCTGGGAGGAGGTCGGGGGAGGAAGCCGTGACCAGAATGTGGTGTATGAAATCTTTTCTTTCAATAAACAAAATAGAACAAAGTGGAGAGGGGAAGGAAGGATAACTGAGGGTAATAGGGGTGGGCGAATATGATCAAAGTTTTATATATATATATATATATGCATGCAAATATAAGCCATTATTTTGTACAGTGAATTGATACACACTAAGCAAAAAGGATTTATGAGGTAATTAGAAATATAGCTATATTAGTATTTTAAAATATGGCACTAATGTTTTAATCATGTGTTTGCTTTTGTATTTTTAGGTGACACAGAGAAGAATATTCATAAACTTCATGTTTTGAATACTTGTCTGAAACTTGATGAAAATGCTTGTTACAAAGCTACACACATACCGCTGCCTCAGCTGCCGCTGTCCCCGGCGCACCCCAATGACAGGGTTGCAGAGGTGCTCAGCAACCTTCTGGAAGGTGATGGATGCTTCTCGAGAAATGTGCAATTGCCACATAATTATCACATTGGTATGAGTTTCCCTTTATTTTGTTTTATTTTTAAGTTTTATTCTGTCTGTCCTGACAGAGGAGTAGGAGATTAGATTCACACACGAGTACTATATTTACATCAGTTCTTTTCCTCTCTTTCCCTCAACTCTCTCCCTGACACACTCCAGACCCGTCTCAGATTCATGACCTCTTAATTATTGTCATACAGGTGCACATACGCACACATGTAAGAATAGATACAGCTGGCTAAGCCCATTGATGGCTGCTTTCCTTACCACTGACCACTTGGAACCAGATTATCTTAAGCCACCTTTTTGGGGTGACTCCTGCCATGATCCTAGAAGCAGTGAGTTTGTATGTTCCGGGATAGGGCGGGAGCGTTAGAAACATTAGGTAGGAGGAACAGATATAAGATAGGAACACAGAGACACGGATAGTACTGGGAGGGCAACTCAGCGGATTCTGAATGCTGAATTTCCCCTGCATGTACTTTCCATTGACTTTTATACCCAAATAAAAATGGGGGAAGAAGGCAAAAATACTGCTTTAACATGACACAAAGGACAACCAGAACAGTTACTTGTTCCAATACTTGAGACATCAAGCCTGACATCAAGAGATTGATTCCTGAGTTAAGCATTTGATGTTTGCGGCAGTGAACCCACCCTAGACCAAGTAGCCTGGCAGCCACTCTTCCTAAGTCAAACCTCCTATTTCAAAAGAAGATAGCAGAAGTCTGCTTGAATTCTCTGACCTCTGGTCAGGGTGAAGCACATCTACCTCTACCTCTATAGCCATCTTAATGTCCAAAACATCAAGCAACCACACCCTAGGTCAGGATATCTTGTTTTGTAGCCACACCTTTTGTTAACAACTTTGAAAGAACAAAAGTAAGCTCGAATGAATTCTCTGACCTGCAGACAAGGTGGAACAGGCTCACATTTTGGGTCCCCACACCAGATTACATATCCTGAGGCTTGTCCCTGGGCAAGACTCAGTCTTCTCTCAGGGGTCATTAATTCCTGGAGTCGTCATCTAGGGGTGGGGCCTTGTGAGACTTCTCCCCATCCATATTGGCATGCCAGCTGATGGTGGTGGTGCACCGGTCTTTTCTGGGTGACCACACTGTTAAGGTCTTCTAAGTGTAGTGTCCCTGTCCCATGTAGAAGACATTCTCTCACAGCAGATGCCACATTCCTCTGGCGCTTACAGTCTTTCCGTGCCTTCGCCTGAAATGTTTCCCATGCCTTAGATGTGGAGATTGCTCTGTAGGGGTTGGGCATTTGGACATTTGGGCTTGTGGCTCTCTGTAAGAGTCTCTCCTTCCTTAGAAGGAAGCTTCTTTGCTGACAAGTGAGGGTTGCCCTTATCAGTCCTAAGGATAAGTATTTAGGATGCAGTTAGAAATTAAAGTGACAGTGGGTTCTTTTCTATTGTCTGTGACCTCATCAGCAATAGTAGTTGGCTATGTTTATAGTACCAGGCATGGATTCCCTCCAATTGAGAGGTCTTAAGTCCAATTAGACAGGTGTTATGCACCCAAGATAGAGGTGCCACTATTGCTCCTTGGGGGCTGTCTGCTGTGCTGGTCACTATGGCTCCCTGGGGTTTGTCTGCTGTGCTGGTCACTATTGTGTTTGCAGGCTTCACATCGGGGTAGGACTACTGATTGATTGGCAGCGGGGGTAGGAGTACTGATTGATTGGTAGCGGGGGTAGGACTACTGATTGATTGGCAGCCGGGGTAGGACTACTGATTGCTTGGCAGCTGGGGTAGGACTACTGATTGATTGGCAGCTGGGGTAGGACTACTAATTGACAGCTTTCCTGAGATGCTTGGATACTGTGAGAGCCAGGGAGAAGCCTGCAGTCAGTTCTAGATTTCTCTCCAGTCCTATATCTGAAGTGTGTGGAGGCTTCAGCAATAGGGTCTTATCTTTAAGTCCTAGGAGGCAACCAAGGATATTCTGAGAATCCCTGACTCCCCTGACTTGAGGAGATGTCCTATGCCTGACACTAGTTTTGTTAGTCTTTGTATTCTTGCTCTGTAATTTCCTGGTACAGTAACTTTAGGAGTGTAACCATCCCTAGTTTCTTTGTCTACAAAGGGCAGCTACAGTAGTCCACAGAATTTCATGACCAATACATGTAAAATCCCTGGATTAGTGTCTGCCACATTAGAAGTTCTTAGTTGTATTTTAACTACTGTTTTGTCCTCTCTGGCACTGCTGACATTAGACTTTTGTGTAGATGGAGACTGCTCTTGGTTTCATGACTGCCCAGACGCGAATAATCACACAGAAGCTATATTAATTACAACACTGACCAATAGCTTAGATATATTCCTAGCTAGCTCTTACATCTTAAGTTGACCCATTTCTATTCGTCTGTGTATCACCATGAGGCTGTGGCCTACCAATAAGATTCAAGCGGCTGTCTCCTTTGGCAGCTGCATGGTGTCTCCTTGTCTCTGCCTGCTCTCTCTATATGTCTCTGTTCAGATTTTCTGCCTGACTTTATCCTACCCTGCCATAGGCCAGAGCAGCTTCTTTATTAACCAATGCCAATGGTAAGAAAACATTTTCATAGCATACAGAGGGGAATCCCACATCATTTTGATATATAGGAATTACTTTGAGCAATGTGTGAGAAATTAATATCAATTTTTTTATTTCTTTCAGATTTTGAAATCAGAATGGATAAGAACAGGACTCAAGTATTTTCATTTTCCGATGTAGATGCAACTTCTGCCACAAACATGCAAAGGTAGTTTATATAGACTGGGCATTCTGAGTTAAAATTTTAGTAAAGAAAGACTTCATATTAAATAGCAGTATCCAAAAGACCTTATGCATGTATGTAGCTTGCAGTATATCTGCTGCATGTGGTTAAATACAACGGCCTGGGGTTGGGATGCCTGCTGAACCAGACAGTCTTTAAAAATTAGTATAAAAGACAATAGTTCAGCCGGGCGGTGGTGGTGCACGCCTTTAATCCCAGCACTTGGGAGGCAGAGGCAGGTGGATCTCTGTGAGTTCGAGACCAGCCTGGTCTACAAGAGCTAGTTCCAGGACAGGCTCCAAAGCTACAGAGAAACCCTGTCTCGAAAAAACCAAAAAAAAAAAAAAAAAAAAAAAAAAGACAATAGTTCAGTTAGACAATATTAACATAACTTAAACTATCACTGGGTGGTGGTACATGCCTTTAATCCCAGCGCTTGGGAGGCAGAGGCAGGTCTGATCTACAAGAGCTAGTTCCAGGACAGCTAGGGCTGTTACATAGAGAAACCCTGTCTCGAAAAACAAAACAAAACCCCCCAAAATCCCACATAACTAAAACTACTATCAGTGCAGTATAAACTTCAGCCAAGATAATACAGTGATTGTAAACTTAAGGCATCTACAAAAATTAACTACCCAATGCTTTTTCCGTTCCTCCTGGTCCTTTCTTTATAGCTTTATAATTGGTATTATTTGTGGATCGGAGCACATTGAAGCTAATCCAAGTCATTTCCCTGATTCACATTACATATAATGTGCTTCTGGAAGAAACATGACATCATGCCATGAAACAATACCCTGCTTGTTCAGTAGAAGCATAGATCATGGATCCTTCCCGCACACCTATGTCAGTCTTTGTGAAAGGTTCTGCTAGGCCTGCTGGACACAGAACGATGAGCCTTACACCTGCCACTGTCCTGGACAAACACATACGTAGAGTAGGAGGAGCAGGAACAAGCTGTTAGCATCCACACCCTTGCCTGCTCATCCCTGTCCATTCACAGTGTTCTGTGTCTTTTCCTCTTTCTGCATCCAGCTGGCTTATTCCTTGGTGTCTTCTTAAGTATTATGTTACCCAGCTGCCCTTAAGAAAGCCTCTCACCCTACTGAAACCTCATTTCCCCCCTTTAATCTACTATTCTGACATGAAATGGTAGCATAAAAGTGCTGGGAAGTGTAAAAGCTGAGTGGTGTCTGGTAAGTGTAAAATCTCTCCTCTCTTCTGGAAGCTGGTGACTGGGGGACAACAGAGGGGGTAGAAGTACCTTTTGTTCTTTTCTTTGTTCTCCTAGGGAACTTCCAGAAAGGAGGGAGTGATGGGATTCAAACCACAGCTTTCCATTTGCTTATAGAATTCCCCATTGGAGGAGCTCGCTTTGGGTTTCCTGAGTTTGGAAGATCTTGTGCCACTTTCTGCTGCCCTCACCCGTAGCTTTACTGAAGAATTGTATTTGGGTCAGAGCGTAGCACCGTCCCAGAAACCCTTACAGTGCGTGTTTTTGTATCAGGAAGTTTTCCTCCTTAGAAAGTCCAGTCTTTCGTAAAGAAGGCTGCTACGTAATCATGTAAAACATTATGTGAGATGTGGCTTTACAAAGTAGCCGTGCACTGCGTTGGCTGTAGAGGCCAGTAACAGAAGTAAAGGCCAGAGCGGGGCGTGCTGAGGACAAGGTCCGTGAAGAGCAGAGTGTTTACCATTCCAGGGGCTCACTCTTTGTGCTTGCTTCCTTTCTTTTCAGAGTAGCAGTGCTGTGTGTTCCTAAGTTTGTTTATTGTCTGAATTCAAGCCACCCCAGAGGATTGTTTGCTATGAAAATTCGACATTTGGAAGCAATGGGTTTCCATGTGATTTTGGTAAGAGAGAAAATGAATGGACCATTTCCTGTGTTAGCGTTGTGCACTCTCCCAGCTTCCGGGTGCTGTGGTTGAAGGTGGCCATTAGGCTCCAGGGGAGTAGTCAGCATGACGGGAATTCATATTTCAGCTGTGGTTCTCTTTCGGGCATTCTAGTATGTGGTTTGCCTTCTACTCAGCTGAGTGCTGTCATCTAGTAGGGACTAGATTAAGTCAGCTTTAATCTCTTATTAATGAAGAAGATAATAAAGAATACCTTTTCTTACTGAACTTAAGACACATAAAGTTACCTCCATGATTACCTTGATTGAGGAATGATGCTAAGGTATTTGTTTTCTGGGCCAGTGTGAGATCCCGCAGTGTGTGCTTGTTGCCCAGAGAGCTGGAGGAAGACCCTTCTCATCAGCTTCCCTTTGACCCTCAGGGCCATGGCTTTTCTTGAATGGCCTTTTCAGGTCTCAGGGCCTTATGATGATTTTGGCTTTATCTACCTGCTACTCATGTGGTCCTGCACACAGTGTGAAGTGTATACACTCAAATCTTCTATTATTGTACTTTAATCCTGAGGGACTGGGCTTGCCTTACTAAGTTTCTGCTAATGTGCCATTTAAAAGTCTGGGAATAGAGAGCCTTTGGAGTTTTACACTTTCCAGTGTTAATACATTTTCTCAGTCCTAGACTTACTAGGTTTAGAATGTGAACATTTAGTTTTTGAAAGTTGGTTTGCTACTTCTTTGATATGCTTAGATCTCTAAAGTCCTTTTATTTTTACGTCTGATCATTTTCTCACAAACTGCTTTCTTTTTCGGCAGATCCATAACTGGGAGCTGAGAAAGCTGAGGATGGAGGATGCAGTAGCATTTGTGAAGGCGAAGATCTATTCCCCCAAAGCTCTTCCCACCACTGATGCAACTGTGTAAAGCATGGGTTAAAGCAAGCAGGAGCCTCTTCACACTGGAGCACACGAAATGACTGTAATAAAGGCTGTGATTCAATTATCAGTGGATAAGATGGCTGATTACTGTAACAGTGTTATTTCCGGGCAGGTTAAAGATGACCTTAAGGATGGGAGATGTGTGGACACTGGTGTTTTAGAAAACAGTGAACATTTCAGAAGTGTCTTTTTGCTCCTCCGACTGCCCAGATATATGTGTGTGTGTGTGTGTGTGTGTGTGTGTGTGTATGTATGTATGTATATCCAGGAGCTGTCTGTTTTCCTTTTCTCATTAGTGTTGATGGGATAAAAACTGACTTCTTAGCTGTGTTGTGATAGCTCACATGTAAGTTGGTATGGGGAGCTCTTTGTCTGACATCTGAGTATGATACTTCTGCTGTCAGCTGCTGTGAGGCTCAGGGTTTATACTTCAGATCATATAGCATTTAGACGTTCTCAAGTGGAAGATGGTGTAAGAATTGGTGGGGTGGGGTAGGAGGGTGTGGGGGGGAATGGGAGGAGGGGAGGGAGTGGGGACTTGGAAAATAAAAATATAAAAATAACAGAATTGGTGAGGTAGCCTGCTAAACATGGATGAGGGGTTCGGGAATGGATGAGTGATTATGGTGTTTGGTGTGCACAATGTGGAGGATATGAGTTTGGATCCCTAATGCCCATGTAAAAAGCCAGATGTAGGGATGAGGACCAGTAACCTCTGTGCCTTTGTCTATGTGCCTGGGGTCAGGGGAGGTTAGAGATGGGCAGACCCTAGGGGCTTACTGGCCAGTTACCATGTTAGATGATATTGTAAAGAACTGAGGAAGACATCCCGACTTTAACCTGCACAGTCAGTCACACCCACACGACACGGGCGGTCACACCCACACAGGCACAAAGCAGATGAGGGCGATGCACACATATGCAGCAGGCACTGCAAACAGCTGCAACAGGAGAAACATGCAAAGTAACCCATGTTTGTTAAAAAGGATAGATTATCAGTTAACGTAATGTTTGCCATTTTTGAGATTTTCTTTGTCCTTGTCTCTTCCACCATTGCGTGAGGTTTTTAAAATTAAGTATATAGCTAAATGGAATTAGACGTCACTATCATTTCTAAGTTCTGTCTGCTTTTTCTTTTGTTCAGGTTTGAATATTTTGTTCATTGTATTTGTCTGTCCACTAACTTGGGATATAGTAGTGAATGTGTATGGTTGCTCACGTGACTATGGCTTGGGTTCCATGCTCAAGGAGGGATTATTCCACCCCTCAGCATCCCAGATGAGCAGTTGCTGGACATCTTCCTATTTGCTTGGCATGGCTAAGTATTTCTATTCTGTTTTCATTATCTTAAAAACCCTTTGAAGTGTAGCTGCGCCTAGGATTCTCTGTGGGCTTTTATGTCCTCTACCATGTGGGGAAGTTATTTGTCAAGTCTACAGAAGCAAGGCAGACTAGGGTTTGAATGTGAGCTGACACGAGCCTGTAAGAATTGTTGAGGGTTCCCCCAGCTGGCCAATTAACAAACCACAGTGGCCTGACAACAGCTGTCAGATTGTATCAGTGCGCAGACGCCTGCAGAAAGGTCAGAGCTGCAAGTATCCTCACATGCACACACACACACACACACACACACACACACACTCACACACTCTCACAAACTGGATGGAAGTTGAGGTGCTAGGAATTTCACTTTTCTAAGTCTCGGTCATGCCATTGATTTCCACATCCTCTCATTGACTGTTTACAGTTTTTGTCCCCAGAGGTCTGGCTTCTGGTTCCGTCATACTGGATATTGTCTAGCTTTGTGCTTTTAGCTGAGTGATCTCAGCTTTAAGCTTCAGAGTGAGGTGGAAATGTTGTTGTTTGGGAAACCAAGAGTCATTCTGTAACTGTTTAGTGCCCATCAGTTTCTCCTAGTGGCTAATGATACTGTATATTCCAGGGGCTAAGCAGATTTACTGATAATTAACCCGGTGTTTGGACTGTTTTACTGAGTTGGGGTGACTGACACGTGCATGCAGGGCCCTCACGCCTCCCTTCCTAGTGTTCTTCACTGTTGGTGCAGAGCCAGGATGAGCATCGTGCAAACATTCCGTCGACTAGTGAGCACATGCTCATCCCAGTGACTGAGCTCTTTCCACCACTGCCATCAACAGGCTTCTAGTTTCCTTTTAAGAATTACAGTGTTGGTGAAGATGGAATGAGGCAAACACTTGCATAGGCTGCTGGCAGAATGGAAATTAATATCACCTGGAATGTACTTCTTTTATATTTAAAGAAAATGACTGCACACGGGTATAAATAGCTTATACTAAGTCTGCATTTATTTAAGGTGTAGCTTGGTCCTTGTCACATGCAGACACGCTTGGGAAGCTATCCCCATGGTCATGTAAGCGGCCATCACCTCTGAAAGGCTGCCCTCTGCCTGTTTCCCATCTCTTGGAGACCACATAGAGCAGCGGTTCTCAACCTTTCTTTTTTTCAATTGTTTTGCAATTGTTTTTTTCTCTGTTCCCTCCCCCTCCCCCTGCCCTCTCCTGTGACCCACACACTCCCAATTTACTCAAGAGATCTTGTCTTTTTCTCCTTCCTATGTAGATCCATGTATCATGTATGTCTCTCTTAGGGTCCTCTTTCTTGTCTAGGTTGTGGACTGTAGGTTGTTTTTTTTTTTTCTTTGCTTTATGTCTAGAAGCCACTTACTTATGAGTGAGTACATATTGTATTTTTCTTTGTGAGTCTGGGTAACCTCACTCAATATGGTTTTTTTCTAGATGCATCCATTTACATGGAGATTTCAAGATGTCATTATTTTTTACTGCTTGTGTAGTTGTAGTATTCCACTGTGTAAATGTATCACATTTTCTTTATCTATTCTTCAGTTGAGGGGCATCTAGGTTGTTTTCAGGTTATTACAAATAATGCTGCTATGAACTTAGTTGAGCACATGTCCTTGTGGTATGATTGAACATCCTTTGGTTATATACCCAACAGCGGTATTGCTGGGTCTTGAGGTAGATTGTTTCCTAATTTTCTGAGAAATCGCCATACTGATTTCCAAACTAGCTGTACAGTTTGCACTCCCACCAGCAATGGAGGAGCATTCCCCTTACCCCACATCCTCTCCAGCATAAGCTGTCATCAATGTTTTTGATCTTGGTCATTCTGCAGGTGTAAGATGGAATCTCAGAGTTGTTTTGATTTGCATTTCTCCTATAGCTAAGGATGCTGAGCATTTCCTTATGTCTTTGAGCCATTTGAGATTCCTCTTGTTGTGGTGACCCCAACCATAACATCTTTTGATACTTTATAACTGTAATTTTGCTTCTGTTATGAATCATAATGTAAATATCTGATATGCCACCCCTTGGGTCACAGATTAGGGGATGATAGTGTTCCCACTGGCCTGGTTATAAGGTATTTGAAGTGTCTATTCTCAGATTTATAGGAAAAAATATTTTGCTTATAGAAGAAAGTATCAGGGAAGTTATTAAATACTTCTTTGTGAAATTCCAAGAAATGTTATATACAGAATCATTATCGAGAGGCTTGGTCTGGCTTTCAACATATAACTGCTGAAATTCCTCCATGCAGTCCTTGGGCACTTTGGTAAATTCTTCGGTTCTTGGCAGTAACCACTGATAAGAAGCTCCGTGAAAGCTGCTGGACAAAGCAGAACTCTTCCTGCCATTCAGAGCTTGAGGATTCTGTAGCACACGGCTCTCCCTTCTCTGCGCATCAGCGCAGTGTTGTTGTTTGCTGAGCGTGGTGATACAGAGGAATCCCAAATTCACTTGGACTCTGAAGTATCAAATCTTTTCAGTGATGACGATCAAATTCATCATGATCCTGGGCACAGGGGAGATTGGAGCACCTGGTGGAACTGTACTTGTCAGAAGGTACCGTTTCTCAAGCTGACAGCATCTTACTGAAGTTGTGTAGCTGCTGGAAGAGCCACGCCCACGATGGCTCACTCAGAGCAGGTGGCTTCTGGAGCTGCCTAGGAGGTGGCACACCTGACTTAAAGTGACAGAAGGGCCCCATGCTATCATCCTTATGGCCCGAGTGGCGAACATTAACCCCATCCTGTTTGAGACCTTCCCGGTAGCTGTAGGTGAAGAGTTACCTACCAAGAGGGTTTTGGTTACCCAGCTTTTTGGCCACTTGGAAGCTGAGGAATTCAACAAGGTCTTGACATACTTGCGGTCCATTTTGTGTATGTGTTCTCACCTGTGTGCCTAGAAAATGGTCCAGTCTGTATTTTGTACCTTCCAACTTTGAAAGATAAGTTGGGGGCTGGAGAAATGGCTTGGCAATTAAGAGTGCTCTCTGCTTTTTGCAGAAGACCTGAGTGTGTTCCCAGCACACATATCAGGAGCCCACAACTGCCTGGACTTCAGCTCTTGGAGGATCTGATGCCCTCTTCTGGCCTCCGTGAGCTCTGCATTTACATGCACATACCCATACACAATTTCAGAAATGAAATCTAACTTTAAAAAGACACCAGGCTAGTCGAATGAGATGAGCTTCTCTGCCAACAGCTAAGAGCATCTGCTTTTTCTACAGTAGCCAGAGTTGCCACAGTGCAGCATGGCAGGACTGGTGGAGAGCACAGCTAATGTGGTAAAGCTCTGGACAGGCCAGCATCCAATTTTCCAGTTTCTGTGCTCTAAGCAGAGATAACAGCTCTTTCTGGCTGTAGTGTCTCTGATGGTGCTCTCTATCATTCTTGGAGGTTCACTGAAGTCTTCTTGGGGCTGCTTTGACATGTGATCTTACTCTCAGCAGGAGGAGGGAGGAGAGAAACCACCCCACTTTTGTTTCCTTCCCATTCTTTACACTCAGTTTTGACATTGGTGTCTCATAGTTCTCTGCCCTCTTCCCACTGACCTTTCAGGCAGTGTTATCACCCTGGAATCCACCGGCATCCTGAAGAGGGAAGAGACAGTGTCGTCAAACTTTGACCCAATAGCCTTAGAAAAGCCTTTCCTTGTTTTTGTTAATGCAGAAAGGAGGTGTGGGAATAAGGTCTTTTATGTATAGAATCATACCTGCAAATAAGGAAA